ACGCAACCTTTGGTGCTTCCGCGGCATGTTCTGCTGCCTCGCGCTGGCTTTCAGCCGCTTGGTTTCTCTCTGACGTCCTTGGTGTGGTGACCGCGCTGCTTGGCCCTGAGAGTGAGCCACCACCAGACTGGAACTGCATTCGCAAAGGTCGCTCCTTCAGCAAGTTCTTGAAGCTGTCAGCGCTCATGCCTTCCAAGCTCGCCAGCTCATCCTTGCCCACTTGCAGCAGGACATCCCCTGCGCGAACACCGTGCTCCTTCCCGAAGCCCTCGCCCACACTCTTCACTGGCAGTGCTCCTGGGGGCATACCACGGAAGGCTATGCCCATCTTGCTGACACTTGCATCTGCCAGAATCTCGTAGGTGCTACCTTCTGCGCGTTCACTGCCGGCTGCCTGCACTGCTGGTACTGCTGCAGCTGCTGCTGGTTCAGCCGCTGGCACTCCTGACGCAACCGCTGGTGCTTCCGCGGTATGTTCTGCTGCCTCGCGCTGGCTTTCAGGCGCTGGGTTTCTCTCTGACGTCCTTGGTGTGGTGACCGCGCTGCTTGGCCCTGAGAGTGAGCCACCACCAGACTGGAACTGCATTCGCAAAGGTCGCTCCTTCAGCAAGTGCTTGAAGCTGTCAGCGCTCATGCCTTCCAAGCTCGCCAGCTCATCCTTGCCCACTTGCAGCAGGACATCCCCTGCGCGAACACCGTGCTCCTTCCCGAAGCCCTCGCCCACACTCTTCACTGGCAGTGCTCCTGGGGGCATACCACGGAAGGCTATGCCCATCTTGCTGACACTTGCATCTGCCAGAATCTCGTAGGTGCTGCCTTCTGCACGTTCACTGCCGGCTGCCTGCGCTGCTGGTACTGCTGCTGTTGCTGCTGGTTCAGCCGCTGGTACTCCTGACGCAACCGCTGGTGCTTCCGCGGTATGTTCTGCTGCCTCGCGCGGGTGTTCAGCCGCTTGCTGTGCCTCCAGCTTCCTTGGTGTGATGGCTGGAGTGCTTGGCTCTGAGAGTGAGCCACCACCAGACTGGAACTGCATTCGCAAAGGTCGCTCCTTCAGCAAGTTCTTGAAGCTGTCAGCGCTCATGCCTTCCAAGCTCGCCAGCTCATCCTTGCCCACTTGCAGCAGGACATCCCCTGCGCGAACACCGTGCTCCTTCCCGAAGCCCTCGCCCACACTCTTCACTGGCAGTGCTCCTGGGGGCATACCACGGAAGGCTATGCCCATCTTGCTGACACTTGCATCTGCCAGAATCTCGTAGGTGCTACCTTCTGCACGTTCACTGCTGGCTGCCTGCACTGCTGGTACTGCTGCCGCTGCTGCTGGTTCAGCCGGCACTCCTGACACCACTGATGGTGCTTCCGCGGTCTGTTCCGCTGCCTCCCGCGGATGTTCGGCCACTTGCTGTGCCTCCAGCGTCCTTGGTGTGATGGCTGGACTGTTTGGCTCTGAGAGTGAGCCACCACCAGACTGGAACTGCATTCGCAAAGGTCGCTCCTTCAGCAAGTTCTTGAAGCTGTCAGCGCTCATGCCTTCCAAGCTCGCCAGCTCATCCTTGCCCACTTGCAGCAGGACATCCCCGGCACGAACACCGCGCTCCTTCCCGAAGCCCTCACCCACACTCTTCACTGGCAATGCTCCTGGCGGCATACCACGGAAGGCTATACCCATCTTGCTGACAGTTGCATCTGCCAGAATCTCGTAGGTGCTGCCTGGTGAAGCCTCGCTGTGAAAGGCTAGGGTCAGCGGCCGTCCTTTGCAGAGTTTGGCCCATTCCCCCCCCCCCCCCGGTTTGAGAATTGGAACAGCCTCCTTTTGGTGATCTCCTTTGGGTTACCAGTGGCTGTTTGCATGGATATCTCAACATAGGGGACACCCAAAAACCATGGTGTTTCTTGGGTTGTCCTTCAACATAAGCCCAAAAGGGGGAAAACCCTCAACAAAATGGACGAGCCACATGGGTGTGGGTCAAAAATAGGTGCCCAAAATGGGTTGCCCTGGCAATTAAAGGGCCCAAAGACTAAAGCCTGCGTTCCATATCCTGGCCTGGTGGTTGTATTTTGACCCACAGCCACATGGATCCCCGGTCCTTTCAGCAACGACTTGAAAGCCTCCAGTTCCAACTTCTCCAAAGCCTGCAGGTCTTCCACCCTCCCCGCTGCCACCAGCACATCGCCTGCCGGGCGCACGGCGCACTTCGCACGTGGCACGTGGCACACCCCGGCCCAACACGTGGCACTGCCGGTTGCTTCGTAAAACGGGAGATGCGCCCAAGATAGCCCAAACAAGAAAACGCTGGGGGGCGCAACCAAGTAGCATTCCAGCCCAATTTCAAAACCCACAGGAACTCAGACCACATGGCTGATGAGTGTCAAACTAAGGGCCGTTCCCAAAGTAGTACCCAATTCATTGTTTGACACACGTGGATAGGGCCAGCTGATTCCACAGTCAACGCGAAGCCAACTCCAAAATCAACGGAGCAACTCAAGACTTGCATTAGCCCCTGACTAGCACAGGTTGCAAATGAGTCAGAGTCACCCCTCTCACTCGCTGATTAACATGGAGCATGGGGTGCCTCGAAAGGGCTTTCCTCTTGAAAAGCAAGTCTTGAAAAAGGTTTTGACCAAACCACAATGGTCTACACCCCAACGGGGTCATATGTTCATTCATGTACGTTGATTTGTGTTGACATGCGGTGATAAAATTTGATATATGTTGACATATATATTGAGATACATTGACATAGGTTCGTAAGTGTACTTGAATGCGTTGACATATGTTGATACACTTTGGATATACTTGGACAGAGCGTGATATATACATCGTGGTGATACACAGTACTTGGTTCTGTGTTGTATGTTTCAATGCGAAAGGGTCTAGACAAAGCCGATAGTAAAGAATCAATAGGTTTGCCACAATTCATCCCGAACCAGGTTGACATATTCACCAACCCCACATCCATGTCACGGGGACCGACATTGAAACAGCTCCTTCTTTCTTTTTTTATGTGGGAACCCTTTGGTGGACTAGTCGTTGCCAGGAATTTTGTGTCCACAGACAGCGATACTCCGAGAGCTTGTCGCTGGCCGACGGTCCAACTGGAACTCCCCAGGCCACGAGAGGTCTCCCTTCGTTCGGCGGCCCTTGAGAATGACCTCAACCAGGTACCTCCAAGAAACACCAACCTCACTTGCTGAGTGGATGGCCCAAAAAAAGTCCAAACTTTATATTTACCATTAAAATGGTCTTCCAACAAAGTTTAAAGTTCATGAACTCAGGAAGAGACAAACACAATCATCCGCATTCGCTGGACCTAACTCGAAAGTGGCAAGTTATCGCTCGACCCGGCCATTCGCCACCCACAAGCGCAGGCCCCGGCTTTGCAAGGGGTCCAAGCAGGGCTGGGGGAAATGGAATCCACTTCTGTACGACAGAAGGGCTTCCCAAAGACTAAGCCCCCCAAGAAAAAGATTCGAATCCTATCACTGGCTCAAAAGCATGTACCCAACATGGCCCCTAGGTAAATGGAAACAAAGACCAAAACCTGCGTCACCCTAGCTCTTAGGTGAAACGAAAATGGCGAAGGCCAAGGCCTGTCTGCACTCCGTTGAGCTCCCCGAAGGACCCAGCCGTCACACTCTTCCTGAGAACGGTGCGAACAAGTGATATGATGGAAGAACGGCATGTTTATGAAACTTAACAAGATAATAAAGGCGATCAATGAGCAACTAAATACACACATAAATACATGAAAAAACAAACACACACCAGACGGTCGGTACATAGATACACAGCGTGTCAGAATGGCAAACTCGTCTCTGAATGGGCAAAAAACACAGAAGGAAGCTCGGTTGCTTTCTGCTCCCCTGATAAAAGTTTAACTTTTAGTGGTTTAAGGGAAAACTCATTAGTTGGCAAAAAGTTAAAGTCCTAACATCCAAGCAACATGCACCAAAGGAAACAGCCCCGAAAATGGCCCGCGGCGTTCTGCAAGCCCCTTGAGAGGCGAGCGATCTTTCAGGTCACGGTTTCCTGTAAGGCCCTGCTCGGAAAGCCAGAGGGGTTCTGGGTGAATGAAAAAAGGATAAGAGAAAAACAAAGCAGGTCAAACATATGCAACACTGATTTTGGTCCCAAATCAAAAGACGCAGACAAATGCAACACTTATTTTGGTTGCTTGACCCCCCAAATCAACAGGACAATACACATAAACTGCTTTGGTTCTGGGGGCTGTCACTCTCAGAGGAAGGCTCCCTTGGTTCCCTTGGGGCCTCTGAATGAACGGCAGTGAGATCGAGTGAATCGCAACACCGCAATGAACATCTGCCACGGGGATTCATAAGCGAGTCACTCCCCCAAGCCTGCCAATGGGACCCACACTTGCCAACTAGTGAATCCCCTAAGGGCCGCTTCAAAGCTGCTTTCGTGAGAGGATTGAACCAAACAAGTCAATGTTTCTTGCCACTGAAAGGATTTTCCCAAGGATACAATCAGCTTCTCCATTTTCCATAGAGCCCACCATAATCCTCAACCCTGCTACAAAGTGATGCAGGGAGCCCACCATCTTTGCTTTGAGAAATTCCCCGAAAAGGGAACACGGCATCCTCACTCCGAAAAATACAGGAATCCCATCATCTTTGCGGCAAGGACCATCCTTATGTTCATTCTATCTAATTATCAGTCTACAGTTGCAGCATGCGCCGTCTAGAGGCAACAAACATCAATGTTAAAGGCGTCACCCTAGACACTGCTCCGCAGATTAGCCTGCAATTATGGCCCTGTTATGTTGATGCGGGACACCCTCGCCAGGAACGCACCAAACCGAGGGTCACTTGCAGCGCTCCGGGCGGAAGACCGTTGAACTGGACGCCCAACTTCTCCACACTCGCATCCGCACACACATGATAAGTCCTCATGGGCTGCGGTCCCGCATCGGAATCCCTCGGTTGCGCACAGTGTTCAAGGGAAGCCAAGAGGAAAGACCGTGTTCTTGGTGTCACTTGCTTGCGTCGGAATCGCTAGGTTAAACATGTCTGCTGGGAAAATGTGCAAGGTGAATTAGCCCATCGACTCTACAGTTGGGCTCGGATGTTCCAAAATTTGCCATTAGGGCCGCAAATCCTTTCAGAAATGAAGGGCAACACTCATCTTGCGGGGGCCTACGGCCTACGTATCCAAAGCTTGGCTGCTTGTTTCTCGCCGACTTTTGCGCGTTTTGCGGTGCCCGTACCTGCGAGCCAAAGGAAGCGAGCAAACTGTGTGTGATCACCAGGATGGGGTTCCAATGTGGTGTAACCGGTCTCGCATTCACAGCCTTCGTGTTCGACTCCTTCCAAAGGGACCCTCCTGGCTGTTGAAGCCAACTTGTCCATCCCGCTCGACACGTTTGGATTCTTCAGCAGATCCCACGGCTGACGCCAAACGGCGTGTTTTAAAGGAAGCCAAAAGGATGCTGATAGGGCACAAAAGGTCCAAAAGGAACCCCCGGCTGGCCAAGCACGGAATGCTGAAACCATGTCCTGAAAGCAAACCAAACCAAATCATGACGCGTGGCAATCAAGTACAGCCTTCCACTCGGGCGGCTGTTGAAACCTAGTAAAACGAGAAAGGCGTGCAACCATGATATGAACCGTGACTGATGATCTTCAAGTGGGTTGTAGAGTGGAACCGCCAGGCTTTTCATAAACCAACAGGGGCGCCCCATCAAACCCTCGACTACGGTCCTTCAGCGAACAGTGTGACGATTGAGGCAGGGATGGTGGGCCAGGGAAGACCTTCTTGCTTGGCAACGCAGCAAAAAGCCAAAGTCCTATCTTGGCTGCCACTTTGCCAGGGACCTCCAAAAAGCCAAAGCAGAAAGAAGTTGAAGCGCAGGCCTTACTGCCACAAAAGCGCAAAACCTGGGTGCCGCTCGGCAACTTGCTTCATGCATGTGTTTTCATCAAGGACCTGCCTGGGTGGTACCCCAATTTGGTGGTTTTACAGGGAAACCAAAAGGAAAACCACTGTTTTTTCTGGGGGACCCGCCTGGGTCCAATGAAAAGTACTGGATCCCCACATTGCGGACCTTCATCTCGGTGTCCACAGCCACGAAGCAGGCAGCTCGACCGCGGCCGCTGCGCGGCTTTTTCTTCACCGCCCGCGGCCGTAGTCGACTTGCTTCGGCACCTGGCGATCTGCGATGCATCAGTGGTCCGAGTATGGAACTGTTGGAACCACTCAGAAGAATGGCAGCGCACAGCTTGTCCTACAGTTTCAGGGTGGGCCGCTTCTCAAGCGGCTGAAGAAGCCACAACCCAGTAAAGGAAAGGTCGTGAAGCCATGGTTGACAGGGTATGGTTCAAACAGCCAGTTGCCCTGCCCCCCTTCAAAGGGAAACCCAAATCCCTGCAACCATTCTGACAGGTTCCTATGAGCTGAAATTGATCTTCCAGCTGGTTCCCAGGTTCCAAATTGAGAAGGTACTTACCTGATCTTAACTTGAACGTCTCTCTTTCCTAGATCCGCACTTCACAATGGCACATCGACCCTCAACCAGTCTGAAACCATCCCTCAACCAACCCCCGACCCAAAATCAGATGGACGGAGCCAAAGGCGGGTCTAAAGATTCTTGACAACGGATCCAAGAATTGAGAAGCCGGCCGCTCAAAAACGACCGCTAGCTTTCCTTGCTTGCCACTAGTGGTTTTTGGGGAAAAAGGATTTGCCCATTTGCTGACGTCGAGCTTCAAAGAGAACCCCCACTCCAAACAAGCATCGAACAAGACCCGCCCTTGTTGGTCCACTTATTTTCAGAAGGGAACCCCGGCCACAAAGCAAGGATGCCGCGCAACTGGCTGACTGCGATGCGAAGAAGAGAAAAACAACTTGGCCTCGCAGCAGTGCAAGTGCTCGTCCAAGTAGTGCTGCAGGATGACGATGGCATGGGAACCTCATTTGAGCCCGGGCAATTCTCAGGCTCTATTCCCCGAAACCTACCGGGAAGAGTTGCCTGTGTGTCCGTTTCAATCATTCGCCCACTCCAATAGTCTACCATTTGCGGAGTTACCCTCAAGGCGAGTAAAGAGAAACAACACCCCGGTTTCTGACTTTGACAACCCGCAATCAAAATGAGTGTTTCTCAAAGTGGTGGCCCCTAAATTGGTTCTTTTGTGGCTTCCCAATCAAAATACCTTCTTTGCTGCCCAGCAACCCAGCAGAGTGGTGCGGCCCAGAGATGCTCGGACCACCTCCACCTCTGCAGCCCGCGCCACCTGCGCAGCAAATTGACCATGAGACAATGACCTGAGGCAAATGCCAAACAATGCAATGATTTCAAAGCCTGAAGGCTCCAAGTAGCACCCGAAACTGCAAGCTGCATAGAGTGGTCCGAACTGAAACCATCCCGTGCTTCCCATCCCGAAGTTCGTCACCAAAACTTGCGGTTCCCCTCTGAGAACCGGCAAGCTCGGTTGTTTGACAAGGGTGCCCCGGAGCTGCTGCGAGTACAGTGATCAATTTTTCAGCCATGGGCTCTTGGAAATATGTCCAATGTTTATAAAGCCTGCGCAGTCTGTAGCCAACATAAGCCTCCGCAAAGCCCTTGACAAAAGGTTTATGTTATGGAGGAAGTCACGGGGGGTCTTTCCTTTATGGGGGTCTTCCACGAAAAAAACACTCAACGCCATGGAGGTCGACCGGTTATTATGCCTGTTCGCCCTGCCATCTCAGAGAATGACGGTGCTTGCCGGTAAATAGAGAGACCTCCAACAGGATTTCTAAACAGTTCGGGGTCCATTCACTTTCCCAAGAAAGCGGGGGCTAAAGGTTAAACCCCAGAAGAAAAAAAGAAGAAGAAAAAAGCAAGAAAACAAAGGAAAAAAAGAGAAAAAAAAGAAACAAAAACAGGGAACGGTTTGCATGAAATCGCTGAACGAGGGGCCTCTCTTCCGATATCGGACTTCGTGATGAGGGTCCCCTTTCCACCCCTGCAGCTGTTGCATCAAATTTTGCTGAGCGTGAGCTTCCTATACTGTTAGCCCACTCACACCGGGGACCGGCGTGGTTTACAACTGTTGAACTACGCACCATAGAGAAACTCGTCCTAAACATGTAGGGTTGCCGCCTCCCCAAAACCGGCCAGGCTGGTTGTGGGGGTGACCCTGGGAAACATTGAGGCTTCGACTCCTCCCTGGTCCATCCCAACCAAGCGTGATTTGTCACAGCAAGTTTCAAGGATCGCTTTTGTCTTTCCGCATAGCCATGGCTGGATGCATTTCTTCGCACCATGGTTCGATGGTTAGATGTCTTGCATCGTCACCAGAAGTTTTCTCCGCGCAACAGGTTTTGGGGTTGTTTGATCTTATGCACTTCGCCCGCGCTCAAAGTCTCTAACAAGAGAATTGGTAGGGAATGTGAGGGTTCTGTGTGAGCCTACTGCGGGTTCAGGTTTGGATCTTAAGGCCTTCCCATCCAGGGGAAAGCTGCGACAGCCAATTCTTTCACGCCACACGCCATCGTGTCCGATAGCTTGGTGCAAATCAAGGTGAGTCTTGTTGTCAAGACCCTCGCCGTCTATCAACGGCTAGGAAGGATACCCAGGAAACTGCATCGGCCTTGCTGGCGCTGCTCGCTTCGCTGTGTGCCCGGGAATGCTCCTGGCGCTGCAACTGGCGGCTGCCAAGTACAAGTACAAATGTTTGTACGTAGTAGCACAGAGGCGTAGACGCCCCCGCCTGCCAGCTGTGCTGAGCCAGCAATTGTCTTCAACGCGCAGACCATAGAGCCTAGCCTGCGAAACAAATTCAACACGGATGCCCTCGCCATTCTCTGAGACAGAGCCGGAACAAATAGGGTCCCAATCGCCACGCGATCCGAATCAATGGGCGCGCGCGCGCCAGCAACATTGCGCCTCCGCCGTGAAAATATCAGAGCGCCTCCTTTCGGGAGCGCTGCCGGAATTCTTGGTGGAAACATTCGATGTGGCAGCCGCTTGACGCTTGGATGGGAAGCGCTCTTTGCCTTGAATGCTGCAAAATTGATTGGGCCTCGCAGCGAACCGTGGCTTGCGCCACCTCCGCCACGCCGCCGTCTCCTTCGCGATGAAGCGAGCGCTGCGGCATGCACCTCGTCCCGGCAAAGCGCTTGCAAGCCCACGGCCGTCCTTTCCCGGCTCCGCACGTCATGCCTCAAGGGCTCTATAGCGCCATGGGCCGGCTGCCTGCTTTACAGCCAAGCCATCCTCTTCTGCAAGCCCTTGACAACCTGGAGCCTGGTGCGTTCGAGCTGAAGGCTGGAGCCATGCTGATGCTGCTGCACCATGAGTGCGCAGAAAAACAAGCATCCGGCACCGCAATAACCACCGCGTTGTCATTCAAATAGCCTGCGTGGATCCTCTCCACAATGTTCCAGATTGGGGCACGAGCTAGCGCGCTTGATTCCCAAAGTGTGGCGCGTGCTTGCATCACCACGTCAGCACGAACGCCTGCTATAAACTTTGCCAGGACCGTTGTTCTGCCCAGAAGGCCTGGCCCCCCGAAGATCGTTGTGCCCCAGATGAAGAGAATCTCCACCAAACAGGAAGCATGATTTTGGTAACAGCTAAGCCTGTTATTGATCAGGGGTAAGCGCGGCCTCTTGGTTCCATTTTGTTTTGACCGCGTTTCTTCGTCGTCGTATTCGCCACGCCACCAACATGCTTGAGCCCTGCACGCAGTCGAATTGATTTTTTGTGCCTGTGTGGAGTTTCTCTTAGGTGGGGCTTGATCAAACCAAAGTATTTATTGTTCGCAACCTTGGCTGGATTCCTTCCCCCCAGTTGGTCTTATCTTTACGGGTTTGCTTGCTTGTGATCGGGTTCGTTTTCTGAACAGAAAATTCAAACGAAGCTGGGTGTTTCCAGAAAAAATAAAGGACCCCCAACACGAACTTGCGGGTCAACTTGTAGTGCCCTTCTAAACACTCCACACGGGAATCCTCTGTTGCTAGTTGCCCAGTGACCCTGGTAGAAAAAGAGACCGCTTTTGGGGGTTGATTCCATTTTTTGCCTCAACATAAAACGCCTTAGAGGCTCCCACTGAACAACTGGGACAAACCCGTCACCCTTTTGGAACTCCCAGAAGGGCATCCAAATGCGACAAGTCACTAGGGTAATCTTGCAAACCCCAACCAACAATTCACAAATTGGTATCTGTCAAATCATGGAGGCAAACCCTGTAATGCAACTTCCCCCCAAATGGGTGGTTCGGGTTGGTGTATTGGTGGTGAAACGGAGAGGTTTCCCCCATTTATCTACAAGAACCAGCAGTTCAAATCCCCAAACCCCAAATCCACCAATTCGGGGTAACCTGAAAACCTGTAGTGGAAATCACCACTTACTGGAAGGCTGAGTTGTGGGACCCCCCCAAAAACAACAACTTCCCAACCTTCCATTTGGTTAAGACCCCCGGAAGAAATAAACATTTTTCCAGTAGTGATAAATTCCTTCTAAAACCAACAAGGGGAAACCACTATTCATTTCAGCAAATGGCTGTGGGTCAACAATATGTACCCAAAATGGAACCCATTCCTGCGGTTTAAATGGAGACATGGGCCAAAACCTGCGGTCCAATTCCTGGTTGAATTTTGACCCTCCTCATGAACCCCAGTGTATTAGGAAGGTGTACCTGGGTTTAGCGGGGAATCATCACTTTTGGAGGGGCCCCCGACCCCCTTAATACATAAACTGGAGCTGATGTATATGAGGTCAACAGTACAAATGATTCAGAGCCAAAATGGCCTAGAAAAAAATGAAAATGATATTTCCAGTAGTGATAGATTCCTTTTTAAACCAACAAGGGGGAAAAAACAACTATTCATTATTTGGTTAACCAGAATTGTTTGGTTGCCCTCTCCCAACAAGCATGGTTTGGTGTGCAGGAACCCTTCCTTTCCCACAAGGAAAGCAGGCAAATAAAACGATTCTCCAGCAAATGGAAGCAACTCAGAAACGGCCCCGCCTCCTCGTAGGCGCTGAGCATCTCGGCGCTGAGGCCCCGGTGGTCGCCCACCAGGACCACCAGGCCCTGCAGGTCCCTGACACGGACGGCGACTTGGGGGCCGTTTCTTGGGTGCTCAAAATGTGGCTGTGGGTCAAAACCAATGGGATCCCATTTTGGGGTAGGTGCACTTACCATTTTAGTCTATTCTAGTGGGGATTGGGATGTTCACTGAGTGTACGATTTTCGCTGCTGCAGATCCCCCAGCAAAAGGTTTATCTTTCTGCTGGTGAACGGGAAGTATGAGGAGTATCCAAAAAGTTAACTGTCTAAAGATCCAACCCAATAGCAGCTTCAATAGCAGTAGAGATTTTGGGTGCTCAAAATGTCAGAACTTAAACCTTGAAAAGGGAGTTGGGTCGGTTTTTTACAAATGCTTTGGAGCAAAAAGGGTAGCCACAAACGAAAACGCGCCGGTTTGGGGCTGACATCCTCAAACTCAACCCAGCTACGTGGCGGGCGAAAGGCAAACTCCCACCAGGACCTACACGTAACTTTGAGAAGCCTAAAAATGCAACCACTTTCAGCAACCAAGGCAAAGGCGGAATGTCCATGGCGTTTCCTGGAGGGTCTTGATATTTAAACATTGGCTATCTAGGGCTTGTGCTGGGGCACGGTGGATGCCCAACATCTTGGAAGGAGGAAACAAGGGGAAACCCAGCAAACCCGTGGCCTGTGGCTGGTTTACCGCAATGATCAATGATAGAGCATCCACGGTACCTCAAGTTCCAACCTCCAAAAGTGGCAAGATCATTGGAGCCCACACCTAAACTCATCACCTTGGAGCTCGGTTTAGAATCCAATGACCTCTGCAAAAGCTAGCGGAACCAAGTCGGAAGCCACTTGGACCGGTTTTTTTTGCCAAAGCAAGTAAAGCGCAGCCACTTGGACAGGTAATTGTTTGGCCCACTCGGAGCTTCACTCAAGCAAGTGTCCCAAAAGGGTTAAAAGAGGATTGGCAGCCGTTTGGGGTCAGGCAACGGAGCATGGAAGCATCAAGCAATGAAACCGCAGCTGGCTTGGGCTTGGGCTGGTAGGTCTCCACTTCGGCTTCCAAACGCGGAACCAGTGGTAAGAACTCAGCCAACATTTGCAACGCTTGTACTTTGGTCTTGGCAGCCACCAAGCCGGTTGGATAACAGATTGACAGTTGAACAGCTTGGTTTGGGGCAGCAGACAACTGGTGCATCATGGTCACATCTCCCTCAAAAGGTGTCTGTGTGTCTGCGCGTATATGTTCAAAATGACACTGTGGTAGATGCGTTAGATACACTACTCCGGTGTTTTCCCCACAGGATTGTACGAATGGGCAACCTCTTTAACATTCCCACTATGCTGCTTCGCGCTCACCCGCGAACATCACGTCCCATGCTTGCCAGCAGACCTCGACCCCAACCATCCGGCCTCCCGTTATTGTTGCCGTACAGTGACCCTTCATCCCCGAATCATCTCTAGCAAAACTTGAGACCTCTAAGGCGGAAACCAAAGGCCCCTGCGGGCAATCAAGGCTCTGATCGACACTTGGAACCTTAGAAAAGGCTCGCGGGTTTGAGAAAACCTTTGGGGCTGGCGCTGATGTCTCTCCGCGTTTTCATTTGCTGCCTGCACAAACCTAGGGTGCCAGCTTGCCATCGCCAAACCGGCGAAAGCCACGTTCCTTTGCGGCCGAAGGTGTTCTTTCAATTTAGTTCTAAGTTTTTTAAGATTCGTCGTCCCTATGCAGACCTTGATTTCTCTCCAAAAGAAGTCCCCAGGAGGCGTCGTCGCGCCCGGTGGCGCCGGTAGCTTTCGCGCCTCTGCTGCTTGAGCACCTGGGAGATGGGCTCGCCATCGGCGTCCAGGATCAGAAGCGCCTCGGGCACACAGCCTGGTTGAAAGCTCTCTATCTGGGCGGTGACCTCAGATCCCCCGCTAAAAGTGATTAACTTTTAGTGGGTTAAACGGAAACTACCACTAAGCACTAAAAGGCTAAAAAGCTAAGGGGATGGCTGGGAGCCACCAAGTATCTGGGTGGTGCTTAAAGGAAAAACTCGAGGAAAGCCACTCATTTGCGGGGGGGGGGGGTGGAAACCATCTGGGGGGACCCTTTGCGAACGGCGGTAGTTCTTTACTACGACGCGATGGCCTTTCTTCATGATACCTCCGAGCAACGAGCACGGCACATGTTCCGTCAAAATGTGTTTCTTGTTGGAACTTAACTAGTTCTTCACGACCAACATGTGGCAGTCACCAAAGCAAGACATCCGAGGTCTGTAAGAATCCCCCAAAATAGTGTGGGCCGATTTGGGACGGTCACAACCGAAGGCGTCTCTTCCGTGGTGGGTGGTTTGACCCTCAAATCCAAAAACGCAGCCAACCGATGCGCGGCATGCCGCCGCGATGCGATCCGCCCCTCCTTCGCTTTGAGCATCGCCTCGTATGGGTGAGGGCGGGAGGGTGGTATGAGGCCAGATTTACACGAAGACCCGGTAGCCCTCGTGTTTCCAACAACGAACCGACAAAAACGACGACGACGACGACGACGACGACGACGACGACGACGACGACGACGACGACGACGACGACGACGACGACGACGACGACGACGACGACGACGACGACGACGACGACGACGACGACGACGACGACGACGACGACGACGACGACGACGACGACGACGACGACGACGACGACGACGACGACGACGACGACGACGACGACGACGACGACGACCACCACCACCACCACCACCAACAACAACAACAACAACAACAACAACAACAACAACAACAACAACAACAACAACAACAACAACAACAACAACCAGAAAGCAAGCAAGCAAGCAAGCAAGCAAGCAAGCAAGCAAGCAAGCAAGCAAGCAAGCAAGCAAGCAAGCAAGCAAGCAAGCAAGCAAGCAAGCAAGCAAGCAAGCAAGCAAGCAAGCAAGCAAGCAAGCAAACTATCAAACGCTCAAAGAAAACCAACGAAATCCCGTCATTGGAGCTCCCGCCTTGAGCGCTGCTTGGCTCGAGCGTGCGCGCAGCTCCATGCCTCTCAGAGGGCTAGTGCACCACGCCTGCGTGTCTGGGGAGCCGGGGGGGGGGATTCTGCCTTGGTATCCTTAAGTATGTGGCAAAGAATGTCATCTTGGCTTCCAACCAAAAACCCAATTGAAGAAACGTACCCACACACAGCCTGAATTTCCCCCCCCCCCCCCCCGCGCATTTGGAGCTCTTAGTCCTGCCCTTTACTTATCCAAATGAAGGATATGGCGCCATGGTCTTCACCCTGGTGTACCCTTTTTCGGGTTGCTTTGAAGGGAAGCAACAAGACATCTCCCAACAAATTGGGGGAGGTTCCCTTATGATGAGGAAAGTCCATGGCATGTTTCGAAAAGTGGATGGCACTGGGAAATGACGGAAGCCAAGAAACAGCACACATTGATTGTCAAGCAAACTTGACCTAAGACAAGCTTAAGAAAAAAGGGATTGATTCCCCATTCTTTTCAACCATCGTTCTCTTCAAAAGACCAGCTGGTGTTGCAGTAAGAAGGATGCCTGGAAAGAATGGGGAAGGTACCACTAGATCTATGGGAACCAGTTCGGATCCTTCACCACTTGGGCGTGGCTTTGGCCAACCTTTGTGGCAGCTTCTAAGATGCAGGTTTTCAATCAGGCATGCCAAACGGAAACCACAGCCCGTTGCCTGGCTGGATGTGTTGCTTTCTCAGAAATCCAAAGGAGTATCCAGTCCTGAGCTTTCCTTTCACATAAAGAAGGATTTTAGCTAGAAACTCCAACCCCATGTCGCGCCGCCAAAATCCCTCCTCCCGCTGCCTCCAGCCCGATCACATCCCTTCGTCTTACCCCTTCACTCCCAGAAACCGGTCAAATCCGGTCAAATTCCCCCCCCTTAGGACCGGTCAAATTGCCCTCTAGAAGCCGTAGACACCGGTCAAATCCCCTCTCAAAGCCGATCAAATCACTCCTTGAAACCGGTCAACTTCCCTTCCAGACCAGTCAAACCTCTCTTGTTACCGGTCCAACTCCGGCTCCTCCCGCTAGAAACCGGTCCAACCCCGATTACTTAAAACCGGTCAGTCAAAGTCCCAGAAACCGGCAAATTCCCCCCAGAAACAAATCAAGTTCCTAGAAATGTGCCCTTGGCTTGGCCCAAGCCCTGCCATTCTGCAGAGGGCGGCAGCGAGTGTCTAGCTCTAGACCCCTGCCAGCAGCGCCTGAAAGCGCTCGTTCCGGCCCTTGGAAACCAGCTCGCGCATTTCAGCGCCAACTCACTCACAATAACAACCAAACTTCAAAAGCACGGTAAAAACCTCCAAGCCAGAAAGCGGATGGCCGAGGCTTTGGGCAACGCTTTTAGCGTTTGCAACTATAATATTTGAGAATGCTGGAAGTCAACTTAGCATTGGCCATTCCAAGTTTAGTATGGCCAAGACTCAAGCTTAGACTTTATATAGTATTGCCAAGACTCTATCCCAGATTTCCAGTATTTCATCTAGTATTGCCTTTAGCCGCTGGAGATTGGAAGGGCTTGCATGGCTAAGAATCTGAATTGGGGAATCTCAACAACAAGCAGGCCAGTAGATAAAGAGGATCCCAAAAAAGGCAGGTTAAAGAGGATCAGGGGCTCTTGCGGGGGAACCCCTTTATGTGACTGTTTGGCCTTGGTGCTTTAAAAGGGTTTGATATTCAAAAAACATGGTTCGGGGGCAACTTCAAAAACAGGAACTCCTAGATCGAAGGCATTTAGCCTCTAAGCTGGGAAGGGCTTAGACAAATCGCCCTCCAGAAGAAAAAAAAAAGCCTCAGGCTTTGATCTGGTATTTTGTGAATTGTTGTTTGCCGGGATTTCTGTTGGGAAAAGCTTCTCATAAGCGGACCCAACACAGACCAAGGATCCTGAATTAGAACAAAAACAAGCCCTACAATGGAGCCCCAATTATCAAAGCAAGTCCAACATTGTTCAGGAGCGACTGATAGACTGATCAAGCTGTCCACATACCAAGAACGGAGTAGAAACCAATCAGCAAACGCATGGCATTCCAAAACTTGCCACTCTGATGCGAAAGGATGCAGCAAACACGAGAAGAGAGACTGGGGACAAGCACTTCGGCACTTCGTCTGAGCCGATGCCACACACATGCTCACATGAAACTTCAGCAGCAGACACATCTCAAAGGTGGACTTTGACAGCATCCGTGTCCAAGCAGCACTTGCCACATGCACAAATAACTCGTAACCCACTCATCGGGGGTGATTCCTCTCTTAGATGTCCGCCAGGCCAGTGGGCTGCGCAAAATGGAGGTTGGCCAATCCCAACTCAGCGCTATTCGGCCGCAGAGTCTTCCCCCCATTTTTCTCCCAACTTCAAATTCCCAGATTCTAGCCGTCCCCATCCCAAACCATGAAACACTTGGGAGCCCCCTGCCGTGTTATGTTTTTTCCTTGTAGAAACAAAGGGAAACATGTATGGAAGGGTCCCTGCGTTGGAATTGGGAACCGAACGGGTGTTCCGGCCTATTGAAACATCTTGCAAAATCAGTTACCATTCTACGCTGGCCACTAAAGCTTGTTCATAAGAAACCAGTAAAACATATCTTCATGTTTTGCGGCATTCCCATTTGGATGTGGCTCAACATTACAGAGCTAGGGCCAACCGCAGGTACAAACTCTTTCCATTTCCCAGGGCAAGCCATTTTGGGGCTTCCAATTTTCGAGCAGCTTGTGAGTTCCATGTTGCGCCACCGCCATTTGGCTGTGGGTCAAAAATGCGTACCCAAAATGGAACCCTGATAAATGGAACCAAAGACTAAAACCTGCAGTCCAATTCCTGGTGGTTGAATTTTGACCCATACCCATATTCATGAACCCCAGTGTATTAATAGGAAGGTGTACCTGGGTTTAGCGGGGAATCATCACTTTTGGAGGGCCCCCCGACCCCTTCATCCATTTGACCGGGAAAGCGACCCGCAAGGCGCGCCAGTTGCGCGCCTCCGGGTCCTCCTTGGGGTCTGGCAGCTGTCGCTCCGATGCCAGCGCCGCCTCCACGCGCTCCGCCAGGCGGGGCTCGTCCGGCACTAGGCCTATGGCTGTGAATTCACAAGGGCGGTGGACCCGCTGCGGGGAACAGGTCTGGGAACTGGACATTTATAACTTATACCAAACCTGTGGTCTGGTCTAAGTTTGACCCATACAAATGGACTTGATGTTCAAACCTGTGGTCTGGTCTAAGTTTGACCCATACAAATGGACTTGATGTTCAAACCTGTGGTCTGGTCTGGTCTAAGTTTGACCCATACAAATGGACTTGATGTTCAAACCTGTGGTCTGGTCTAAGTTTGACCCATACAAATGGACTTGATGTTCAAACCTGTGGTCTGGTCAAACCTGTGGTCTGGTCTAAGTTTGACCCACACAAATGGACTTGATGTTCAAACCTGTGGTTGGTCTAAGTTTGACCCATACAAATGGACTTGATGTTCAAACCTGTGGTCTGGTGGTCTAAGTTTGACCCACACAATGGACTTGATGTTCAAACTTGTGGTCTGGTGGTCTAAGTTTGACCCACACAAATGGACTTGATGTTCAAACCTGTGGTCTGGTCTAAGTTTGACCCATACAAATGGACTTGATGTTCAAACCTGTGGTCTGGTGGTCTAAGTTTGACCCACACACATGGACTTGATGTTCAAACCTGTGGTCTGGTGGTCTAAGTTTGACCCACACAATGGACTTGATGTTCAAACCTGTGGTCTGGTGGTCTAAGTTTGACCCATACAAATGGACTTGATGTTCAAACCTGTGGTCTGGTCTAAGTTTGACCCACACAAATGGACTTGATGTTCAAACCTGTGGTCTGGTCTAAGTTTGACCCACACAAATGGACTTGATGTTCAAACCTGTGGTCTGGTCTAAGTTTGACCCACACAAATGGACTTGATGTTCAAACCTGTGGTCTGGTCTAAGTTTGACCCACACAAATGGACTTGATGTTCAATCCTGTGGTCTGGTCTAAGTTTGACCCATACAAATGGACTTGATGTTCAAACCTGTGGTGTGGTCTAAGTTTGACCCATACAAATGGACTTGATGTTCAAACCTGTGGTCTGGTCTAAGTTTGACCCATACAAATGGACTTGATGTTCAAACCTGTGGTCTGGTCTAAGTTTGACCCACACAAATGGACTTGATGTTCAATCCTGTGGTCTGGTCTAAGTTTGACCCATACAAATGGACTTGATGTTCAAACCTGTGGTGTGGTCTAAGTTTGACCCATACAAATGGACTTGATGTTCAAACCTGTGGTCTGGTCTAAGTTTGACCCATACAAATGGACTTGATATTCAAACCTGTGGTCTGGTCTAAGTTTGACCCACACAAATGGACTTGATGTTCAAACCTGTGTTCTGGTCTAAGTTTGACCCACACAAATGGACTTGATGTTCAAACCTGTGGTCTGGTCTAAGTTTGATCCATACAAATGGACTTGATGTTCAAACCTGTGGTCTGGTCTAAGTTTGACCCACACAAATGGACTTGATGTTCAAACCTGTGGTCTGGTCTAAGTTTGACCCACACAAATGGACTTGATGTTCAAACCTGTGGTCTGGTCTAAGTTTGACCCACACAAATGGACTTGATGTTCAAACCTGTGGTCTGGTCTAAGTTTGACCCATACAAATGGACTTGATGTTCAAACCTGTGGTCTGGTCTAAGTTTGACCCACACAAATGGACTTGATGTTCAAACCTGTGGTCTGGTCTAAGTTTGACCCATACAAATGGACTTGATGTTCAAACCTGTGGTCTGGTCTAAGTTTGACCCACACAAATGGACTTGATGTTCAAACCTGTGGTCTGGTGGTCTAAGTTTGACCCATACAAATGGACTTGATGTTCAAACCTGTGGTCTGGTCTAAGTTTGACCCATACAAATGGACTTGATGTTCAAACCTGTGGTCTGGTCTAAGTTTGACCCACACAAATGGACTTGATGTTCAAACCTGTGGTCTGGTGGTCTAAGTTTGACCCACACAAATGGACTTGATGTTCAAACTTGTGGTCTGGTGGTCTAAGTTTGACCCACACAAATGGACGTGATGTTCAAACCTGTGGTCTGTTCTAAGTTTGACCCATACAAATGGACTTGATGTTCAAACCTGTGGCCTGGTCTAAGTTTGACCCTAACAAACGGACTTGATGTTCAAACCTGTGGTCTGGTGGTCTAAGTTTGACCCACACAAATGGACTTGATGTTCAAACTTGTGGTCTGGTGGTCTAAGTTTGACCCACACAAATGGACGTGATGTTCAAACCTGTGGTCTGTTCTAAGTTTGACCCATACAAATGGACTTGATGTTCAAACCTGTGGCCTGGTCTAAGTTTGACCCTAACAAACGGACTTGATGTTCAAACCTGTGGTCTGGTGGTCTAAGTTTGACCCACACAAATGGACTTGATGTTCAAACTTGTGGTCTGGTGGTCTAAGTTTGACCCACACAAATGGACGTGATGTTCAAACCTGTGGTCTGTTCTAAGTTTGACCCATACAAATGGACTTGATGTTCAAACCTGTGGCCTGGTCTAAGTTTGACCCTAACAAACGGACTTGATGTTCAAACCTGTGGTCTGGTGGTCTAAGTTTGACCCACACAAATGGACTTGATGTTCAAACTTGTGGTCTGGTGGTCTGGTGGGTTCTAAGTTTGACCCATACAAATGGACTTGATGTTCAAATAAGTTTGACCCACACAAATGGACTTGATGTTCAAACCTGTGGTCTGGTGGTCTAAGTTTGACCCATACAAATGGACTTGATGTTCAAACCTGTGGTCTGGTCTAAGTTTGACCCAACAAATGGACTTGATGTTCAAACCTGGTCTGGTGACCCACACAACGGACTTGATGTTCAAACCTGTGGTCTGGTGGTCTAAGTTTGACCCACACAAATGGACTTGATGTTCAAACTTGTGGTCTGGTGGTCTAAGTTTGACCCACACAAATGGACTTGATGTTCAAACCTGTGGTCTGTTCTAAGTTTGACCCATACAAATGGACTTGATGTTCAAACCTGTGGTCTGGTCTAAGTTTGACCCATACAAATGGACTTGATGTTCAAACCTGTGGTCGGGTCTAAGTTTGACCCACACAAATGGACTTGATGTTCAAACCTGTGGTCTGGTCTAAGTTTGACCCACACAAATGGACTTGATGTTCAAACCTGTGGTCTGGTCTAAGTTTGACCCACACAAATGGACTTGATGTTCAAACCTGTGGTCTGGTCTAAGTTTGACCCACACAAATGGACTTGATGTTCAAACTTGTGGTCTGGTCTAAGTTTGACCCATACAAATGGACTTGATGTTCAAACCTGTGGTCTGGTCTAAGTTTGACCCACACAAATGGACTGATGTTCAAACCTGTGGTCTGGTCTAAGTTTGACCCACACAAATGGACTTGATGTTCAAACCTGTGGTCTGGTGGTCTAAGTTTGACCCATACAAATGGACTTGATGTTCAAACCTGTGGTCTGGTCTAAGTTTGACCCACACAAATGGACTTGATGTTCAAACCTGTGGTCTGGTGGTCTAAGTTTGACCCACGCAAATGGACTTGATGTTCAAACCTGTGGTCTGGTGGTCTAAGTTTGACCCACACAAATGGACTTGATGTTCAAACCTGTGGTCTGGTCTAAGTTTGACCCATACAAATGGACTTGATGTTCAAACCTGTGGTCTGGTCTAAGTTTGACCCACACAAATGGACTTGATGTTCAAACCTGTGGTCTGGTGGCTAAGTTTGACCCATACAAATGGACTTGATGTTCAAACCTGTGGTCTGGTCTAAGTTTGACCCACACACATGGACTTGATGTTCAAACCTGTGGTCTGGTGGAAGTTTGACCCACGCAAATGGACTTGATGTTCAAACCTGTGGTCTGGTGGTCTAAGTTTGACCCACACAAATGGACTTGATGTTCAAACCTGTGGTCTGGTGGTCTAAGTTTGACCCACACAAACGGACTTGATGTTCAATCCTGTGGTCTGGTGGTCTAAGTTTGACCCACACAAATGGACTTGATGTTCAAACTTGTGGTCTGGTGGTCTAAGTTTGACCCATACAAATGGTTTTTTTTTGCAAACCTGTGGTCTGGTCTAAGTTTGACCCATACAAATACCGGTACCAAAAATACCTGGCAAGTGGAAACATGGACCAAAACCTGCGGTTTGCCCCTTCTGTTTACTTTTGAGCCACCCCCATGTGTTCCGATTTGTTGGGGGATACCAATCCATCCGCGAGATCTGGCCGATGCCCCACCTCGCACCAGCGCCCCGGAGACCTCCAACACGTGGCCGCTCGCCTCGAAGGAGAGGCAAACCTGCCGACCCGAGGCGTTTAGAACGGGGCCTGCGTGGCTTGGCCCCTTGGCTTGACCCCTGTATATATATATATATGGAGGTGGGTCAAAAATAGGTACCCAAAATGGAAACCTGGTAAATGGAAACCTGGTAAATGGAAACATGGACTAACACCTGCGGTGCCTAGTGGTTGAATTTCGACTCATATCCATATAGGCAACAGCCTGCCGCTCCTGTTTGTTGCACGCTGTGGCAAGGCTTCTCAATGTGCAACTACAGAGCTATGCTGTGCCGTAGATTCGTACACTGCAGCAAGCTTCCGTTTAACTAAAACCCATATACTATATGTATGTAATTTTGCACACACGTGGTAGGCTCCAAACCCAAAACCAACCCTGAATCCCAGTTCCGCCTGGGTATTGCGCCGGAGGCCCTGGCTGCGGAAGAGCCCCGCTGACAAGCACCGCAGGCCCACGTCCACGCGGCCCCCGCGGGGCGCAGACGCCTGAAACCTCAGAGCTCCGGTGAGCGTATCTGGGAGTCTCAAAACTGGAATCCTGCCAAAGGAATCGGCGATGTTTCCACAAATTCAAAGAGGCCCCAGAGCTCACCATTGTCGAATGACAGGTTTGGTGGTTTTAAGCTTGGACCCCCAAAATGGCGTTGGTGCTATGGCTCCCTCTCTTCACCATTACAACACCACAGCCAGTTGTTCAAAATGTGACCAAACGGGTGCCTAACTTAGTTCCCCTCCTAAAGCTGGCCACGAAAGCCTCCCAACAGCGGGGCCCTTTTTGGAAAGCCCTCATATATCAATGATAGACCATCACAATGACCGCTATATTTATTCCGTTGTGCGGTTGCAATATTGAAGTCTGATCGACTGCCAGATCTCTACAACTCTAGCTCCCAAGAAAGCCGCCTGGCAAACTTGAATGCCCAAAAAGCTACGGGCTGCGATATTTTCCTTCTGCAATGTCCGGCACCCCAAAGAAAAGGAACCCCGAAAGGCCACCGGGGTCGAGAGGTCTCGAGTCTCGCCGAAGAAGCCGCCGAGTCACGTGGTGGCGTCGCCCCGGGTCAGCGGCACCAGGAACCGGCGCCAGAAGCAGCCCAGGCGCGGCCTCGCCATCGGCCGGGGGGCGTTCTGGGATGACAACTGGACGCCAAAATCCAGACAACTGCACCAAAAGACGTAGTCTTTATGCCAAAAAACCAGGCCTTGGTGGAATTGATGTAGCTTTAATTCGCGCTGAAGCTTGAGACGTGGTTTGACCTGGAGCAGAAAAACGGTCACAGAACAGAACGTGGGGCTGACTTCAAATGCGAGGTGAGTCTGAATGGATCTTGATGCTAAAAAACAGGCCCTGGTGGAATTGAGGTGGCTTTAATTCGCGCTGAGGTTTGGTATACCGCCTGCGAGATGGGGAGAGGCCTCTAGCGTTGTTTTGGGGTTGCTCGTGGGCTGGAGGCCGTGCTCAAGTAAGAGACGGAACCATCTGCCATTCTGAACTGCGGAAGGTCTCCGCCAGGGGGCGGCTACAAACATGAGGAGCAAAAGAATCCCTAAGATGTTGCAAGTCAACAAATGGCCATGGTGAGAAAGCCAAAAAGGCACCAGCCAAGGGGATCCCCTACTTGGAGACCCATAGTACACCCTGTCGGCTACAAAGAGAAGGGTCAAGGGGAATCAAGCTTGATTTCCCTTTTGAAGCTGGCAACAGGGTCACCCCTAAAATGTGGGGGGGGGGGGGGCTTTTGGGCTTTTTGAACCTTGCCTCACAGATCTGACAATGATAGGCCAGCATTGTCCCCAAAGCCTTGCCACATTTTCCCGGCCACATCTTCAGAGAAAAGCAATGAACCTTTCTCGGTGGGACCTCCACCCCCCCACTTCGGCGCGTGGCCGAGACGCGCCTCAAGGCCTCGCAGAAGAGGAACCGCTCGCTGCGCTTCGCGCCGAAGGTGCAGCGCCTCGTGGTGTGGCCCACCTCGAGCGGAGGAGCGGAGGAGCGGAGCTCTGAGGACTTCATATGGCAGCCCCCAGGATGTTTGGAGGAGTCCTTTTGGGATTTTATTGTTTGTGGTGGGTTCATAAGGGTATTTTGGGGCTCCCTCCCCCTCCCCTCCCCCCCAGCCCCCATGATGTTTGGAGGAGCTTTCCTGGGATTTGTTTGTTGTTTGGGTTTTGTGGGTGAGTCTGATACAGGTACCCTGACGTCAAAAAAGACATCAATATGTTCTTGGGTTTATGTTTGGCTGAAGTTAAGTGTTTTCATATGTGTGCCTTCTCTGTTTGCATACGTTCCTCTACAATACATGTTGTACCATTCAGGATTGCTATCTTTTCTTTATCTAAAACCACTGATGTTCTTTCAAGTACTGCTGTTAGGGAACCAAAAGGAAACCATCTGTAAGGAAGGGTATGTCCCCCCAAACACCACCCACAACAAAACTCACCAAAAGTGACGTCGAGTTTACCCGATATGAGAACTAGCCGCCTGCCAGAGTTCAGGAAAATGGCAACCAAACATGAACTAAAATGGCAATGCAGTTGACTCCCAAACCACTGCAAGCGGGGACAGTAGAAACTGTGTAGTGCATGACGGTTTGAGGTAGCTTGACTTGCCTTATGCATAGGGAATCGACTGGTTGGATTCCCCGAGTAATTCTGGCAGGTAAACTGACCACGTCCAACCACAAAACCCTTTTAAGTACGCTAAATGACTGGGCTGTATAAGAGCTGTGATCTACCTAGTCTTCCTCAGGCTCCCCTCGCAAACCACAAGGGAAAAACTTTTTGGTATGCGCACACACATGTATGGTGGCTTCCCTAAATTCCTTTGTCTCAAAACGGCCATTCTTCGCGACATCGTACTTTCGCGAATCTTTCGCGGATTGCTCGCTGTGCACTTTCAACTGCTAAAGTCAGAAAGTTGCAACTTCTTTCAGTACAAGTGCAGTACGCAAAATGCACTTCTGCAGCTCCGGCTGGAAAGACGCAACTTTTCAGCACAGCTGGGAGTCGCAACTGTTCAGTCGAAGTTGGTACACTGACTAGCGCGGTGCTCAGAAATTACCTCCCCTTGCTGCGCTCTCACGCGGGCTTTCGTGGATCTTTCGCGGAACCTTCGCGGAAAACACCCACGATTCAGATCGCAAAGCCACCGACTAAGAGCACACACACACACACGCACGCTTGGAGCACTAACCAGCCAAGCAGGGTAGCAAACTGTAGCCTCACCAGGCTTTATCATCTAACGAGCAAGCCGCAAAAGCAACAAAGGGTTATCATCAGCTACGGAAGGAAGGCTCAACAGAAAAGATACACTGCTTTCACATGTTACTGACTTGCAAGATACAGCTACGCAAAACTTTCGCGAAGACAAACAAATCCTTTCGCAGAGGTACGCCAACCCCGATAGTAAGGACCTTCAGAGCGACTCCCACAAGTATGTAAAATACACACTTAAACTCCAGATGGAGGGTGCTAATCTTTCGAGTACAACTGATGAGTCTCGAGTACAACTGATGAGTCTCGAGTACAACTGATAAGTCACTCATCGTTCGAGTACAACTGGTGAGTCTCGAGTACAGCTGGGGTTCAGCTGGTTTTGGAGAAAAGGGCAAAAAGGGGACCTTTTTGTTTGTGCCATGACAATGGCCCAGGCGCAGCCCCGCGGGTACGTTTGGACCCGGACACCGGGGGCGTCTTCGTTGGCTGGAGACCCCCCGGGCCGGCTCCAGCCCCCTGCTTCGGTGGACAAAGGTGGATGGTGGCAGGGTAATCTGCCACTCCGCACACACACGCCCCTCAGTGAGGGGCGAAAAGTCTCTTTTTCGGGGGGAAGAAGAAGCGCCCGAAAGACGGACGAAGACCCCAACAGAAAACAAACGGAGCAAGAACCCAAAAGGAACAGAAAGGCCCCACGTTGGGTCTCCGCGGGCAAAACCCCAACCAAGAAACACGAAAAACGGGAAACCGAGTTTAGGGTCACCGCCGAGGGCAAAGAACCCCAAACAGTCCAGAAACCCTCCTAAACCTTGTAGACAAAGAGCACCGCGAAGTTGAAGAACGACACCACGAACACGCCATCCCTAAACGGGCGAAGAGGAACAACCGGAAGTAGTAGGGAAAGGGGAGAAGAAAAGAAGGAGAGAGCGAGAAAGAGAGAAAGAGAGAAAGGAGGAGAAGGGCCGAGATGCGTATTTAGGGCGCCGCAGCCCGCCCGGGGGAAGGAGAAAGGAACGCAAGGGAGAGAGAAGAAGAAGAAGGAGAGAAAAGAAGACAAAGGGAGCGAGATGCGTATTTAGGGCGCCGCAGCCCGCCCGAGGAGAGGAGAAAGGAGAAAAAGAAAAGGAAGAGGGAAGTAGTATGCGTTTTTAGGGCGACGCATCCCGCCCAGACAGGAAGAGAGGATGAAGTCCAAAGCTCGAGGAGGAAGACGACGAATCCCACACAGGGGCCAAGAGGACGAACACGAAATAGCAACGGAAGGGGAAGAAGACGTCAAGCCAAACTACGTGAGGAAGAAGAGGAGTAGGAACAGGAAGACGGACACGAAGACGACGACGAGGAAAAAGGTGAACAACGCGAGGACAACCAGGCCATCCCTAAGCGGGCGAACAGGAGGAGGGCGAACGCGCGGGTCACGAAAGGCAGCAGGAAGAGAACGGGAGGAAGGAGAAGCCATCCCTAGGCGGGCGAAGAACCAGAAGACGGGCACGCGGAACACGAAGGCGAGAAAAAAGAACGAAGGGTGAAACGTAGCTATGAAGAGGTGGCTGTCTTCCCTTTAGTGAAACCTCGATCCTGGTTAAATGTGAAATTCCGCTGGTCTATGATAAGCACGCTGAGGTCAAATTTTCCGACAGAGCCGGCCCGGGGTCACACAATGGGTACACCCGAGGATTCCCCACGAATGGGGTGTACACACTTAAACTCCAGATGGAGGGTGCTAATCTTTCGAGTACAACTGATGAGTCTCGAGTACAACTGATGAGTCTCGAGTACAACTGATAAGTCACTCATCGTTCGAGTACAACTGGTGAGTCTCGAGTACAGCTGGGGTTCAGCTGGTTTTGGAGAAAAGGGCAAAAAGGGGACCTTTTTGTTTGTGCCATGACAATGGCCCAGGCGCAGCCCCGCAGGTACGTTTGGACCCGGACACCGGGGGGCGTCTTCGTTGGCTGGAGACCCCCCGGGCCGGCTCCAGCCCCCTGCTTCGGTGGAAAAAGGTGGATGGTGGCAGGGTAATCTGCCACTCCGCACACACACACACACACACACCCATCGGCGACTCGGAACTGCGCCTGGCCGCAATAGTTGCAACCTTCCAGCTGCGAAGGGCACTCACTGGACCTGGGCTTGGGAATGGGAGGCAGGAACCAACGTTTGTCGGTGCTTCCTGGTTATGCTTCTTAAGTCTTTGGTTGTTGTTCCCCAGCCGGCTGGTCTGGTTTTGTTGGATATGGCAAGAAAAGCCCTCCAAAAGGGAAACTCTCCGAAGGGTATTGAAAGGGCAACCCTCCACATGTGGACCATCTTGCTACCTCAAAATGATATCTGGGGGGGGGAACTTCCCAAGGCAACGCATACACCTTTGCCCCGGAGTGATTGGAAACGCTGGGACAATTTTAAAAAGTTTAAACAGGTGAAGCTTCAATGAGTGGTTGAAAACAAGGGGAACCATGCTGCACAAGGTTTACATGGACTACACCTTATATAAGATATGGCTGAACCACTTCGAACAGGTTAGATGAACACCCTAGTGAGTGGTTGAAAACTCTGCGGAATCATATTTGCGAGGGTTTCAAAGGTGCAATCCGAATCAACGTTCAAAACGGTGTCCAACAGATCTGCGGTGAACACCTCAATGAGTCGGTGGTGATGTTCAAAGGGCGCAATCTCCGGCATGGAGGCAAGGGAGAAGGCCAAACACAGACTTCTGGGCCAGCAAGAGCCTGGAAATCTGAAGCGCAGAGAAACGTAGCCCAACTGAAGGGGCTGATGGAGGTGATCCAGAACGAAGTGCATTTTGAATTGCAGACGCTTTGGTGGAACATCTCTATGGGGGATTCGTGCAAGCACCAAGCTGCGATTCAAGTCTTTTGTGGGTACCTGCTGGGGTTGCTTTCAATAAACAAGCCAACCATTCTTGGGGCTCACCGATTTGCAGCACCCCCTTTTGCGATCCAATCGATGGCGAAATCATTCAAAACCGTTTTCCGAGAGGCTGTCAAGGATAAAAACCTGAAGTGGCGAGGAAACGGACCAATGTTGCGATCCAATGGCGATTTAATCGCCCCTGTCGGGGTTGTCTTTTTGAAGGAATGCCAACGGATAAGCAGATCTACGGGTCCTCTATGTTAAGGCCCCCCTTTTTGGGATCCAGTCCATGGCTATTGAAAACCAAACTAAAAATGACCAAAAGATAACCAACCATGTTTTCTTCTTGGGCAGCACTTGCTTTCGGAGTCCCAAACTCCAATCGCTCGTTTCGTGGTTCTTTTTTTCGCAGGACCAGGCGCTTGCGAAAGCGCATGGGTGCCCGGCCGGTGGGTCTTCTGGCCGCACCGGGCGCAGGGCCACTTCAGCGCGGGGTTTGCTTCGCCTGACGTGGCTGGAGTTGGAAACCTTTCTGGGCTGCCCGTTTTCAGACCCCCCGCTAAAAGCTTAACTTTTAGTGGGCTAAATGGAAATCCCCACTAAACACCAAAAGGCTAAAAAGCTAAGGGGATGGCTGGGAACCACCAAGTGTTCTGGAGGGGTTCCATCTTTCGCGGACAGAAACTGAGAGAGCGCCGCTCAGGCGTTCGTGCCATTTGTTCCCAGATTCATTCAACACCCACCTTGCAACGCCCGGTGTGGAGGCTTGCCAGCGCAAGATCTTGCGCTCCTCCAACTCTCACAGAGAATGCCCGGCGAGTCTAATTTCCAGTCTTGTTTTGGGCCCACCTCAAGAGGGTCCCTTCATTCTTCCGAAACGGTCAACATTCTTGTTTAAGGCACCAGGGCCCATGATCAGGACATCATTGTTCACAGTGCCCATGTCCATTCAAGGCGACATTTGTTTAAATGGGTCCAAAGCTTTGGGCTACTTTGGACATGTAGCCTCCTGCACATACCCAAGCCTTTTTTTGTGGCAGAAATCAAAGAACACCGCAAAACCTGCCACCTCTCTGCAATTCCAAGAATTTACCAAGCCAAAACAAGGGAACATTAAAAGCTTTTAGACCCGGAACTGATTTAGGATGGCTCGCTACAGCCAAAGTGGCAACGGGGAGTCCTTTGGCACTGTGAAGTTTTACTCTCTGGTGGATTCATGAGGACTCCCCATAGTTCCGAAAATGAGAGCCAGGGAAACTTTAAGGAAAGCTATGGGGGCATTGGGCCGCCATGCTTGCTCTGTTGCCTTAAGGCTCTGAAGCATCCTTTGAGGGGCTCAAGCCAGGGTGGGCTCCAGGCTTCTATGGGCTGCGGGTACTTTAAGGGTTGACTTTTGGGCGAGTTGGGTTTATAGGATTGAGTTGGATTCCAGACAAACGGTCTGGACCTTTGAAACAACCCTGCCAATCAAGCAGCTGCACAAACCCTCCAACAATACTACAGTGGCCTTCCCGCTTCTGTCAGCTTGAACGACCGGAGGGAGGGCAACCAATAGAAGGCCAAGCAACCAATTTTGATCCCAAGAGGCCGAGGCAACCGTTAAGCCCTTGATAGGCTTGGTTGCCCTGATTTAGCCCCCTGCCAACAACCTTTTGCTTGTCAGCAGTTGAACATGAAAGCTGGCCAACGCGCAAACGTGAAACCGCAGGGGGCGGGGTCAGGTGGCATGGCGAAGCACAAATCTTCGCCGCAATTGCGGCGCAACTGCCGCGAGAAAATCATTTGGCAGGCGTGGATAAAGGTCTGAGCAGGTGCGCTTGAGCCGGGGTTTGGGGCGCTTCATCGGCAGGCTGAGCCACGTTTCATGCCACCATTTTGCAATCTTGACCACCTGACACTGCAAACATAATTCCCTGCAAATCCCAGCTTTTCTTAGACTCTTAGGAGTGCTTTTGCAGCACTGAGCCCCAAGAAACAACTTGCTGTTGATCAAGGCTTGTGGCAGCATCTTTGCACGAAATTCATGACTCTGAGACTGGTGCGGGATTAGCTGACTGTCTTTACATTCCCTCTAAAATCCGTCAAGAAAAAATCGAAGGACTCATAACCACAAAGACTTCATATAGTTTAAATGCCCACCATATGTCCCGCTCCAAAGCCCAATGCCCGCCGGCCTGCCACCTCCACCTCCACCTCCGCCGCCTCCGCCTCCGCCTCCTCTGCCTCTTCCTCCTCAGCCACGCGCTTCCGCTTCGGCCGGCGGGCGCCAGACGCCTCGGAAGCCTCCGTCACACTGCACCAAGTGGGCCTTGTGCGCGAAGCGCGTGGAAGATTCTTTCTTTGGAGGGTACCCAGTTTGTGTTTTGGGACCATCTGGGTTGCGCAGTGGGACTATTTGGGTTCACAAACCTTTCCGAAGCCCTGACTATGCGCTGGGAAAAAGGGAGGCTCGCCGTGGCCAACTCGCCGCTCACCACTCTTACCCGGCCAATGCAATGTTGGGCATCTGCCCCGCTATTTCAAGCGCACGCAGTCTGCACTCCTTCGCGCCCAGAAGGGCAGTTTCTTTGGTATTGGTGCACTGTGCGCCAAAGGAACCTCACAACTCGCAGCATGCTGGACCATGCACTTGGTCCAAGCCTGCCTGGCACGCTCACTCATGGCACAGCGCTCCCCATCCAACCAGCAACCTCTGCGACAAGCGGTGGCCCACCAACAAACGCAGCACGGACCAAAGACAATGGCTGCCACCACACCAAGTCCCTCCACGTCAGAGGCTCCTCCCAAGCGACTTCGCATCTAAACAGGGTTTGCGACCAAGCATAGAACTCCAGGCCAATGCCCAACATCCTCTGCCTAGTCGGTGCTCTGAGTGCACCCGCGCGTCGCTCGCCACATTTTACGCGGAACTGCTACTAAGAAAACCTCCGTTTGTTCCAACGTCAGGGGCAGCTCAGACGCAACTTTGTATCGAGACACCACCAGTCTCAGAAACATCAATAATCTGCACATGAGCAGTGCCTTCTGGCAGCGAACAGCAATGATTGCAATCGCGGCTGGCACTGAACATGACGTCAACCACGTCAACGAAATCACCATCTGTCTCAAGCCAGCAGGCTTGGAAACATGTGGGTCTGTGTCAAGAGGGGTTCCCACTTTCTGTCGACGGCCTACAAAGGGAACCAACTTACAAAGACGACTGCGCGAACACCTGCCCGATTTAAAGCTGGGAACACACTGGCTAAAGAGCACCCCGCCGTGCGCAAATCCAAAATGTGAACCTCCACTACTTGATGCACAAGATCGGATCCCCATTTCCATGTGCGGTGCGGGAAAAACACGGGGTTCCCCTCCACCCTCCAACAAAAGGGATGTCGCACACCATCTGGGAGTGAGGCTCTGATTTATGCAAACTGGATGTGCCTGTCAAAATGCCAAATGTTAGTGTCACTCCTTTTGAACCAAGCTGAAAAAAACACACCCTTGTAGGGGTGCAGCCCAAGGCATTGGAATTGGCTTTTAAAGAAGGCTGGTGGTTTTCCTGGCTAGCTTACTGGAAAACCATGCTTGGCTCCCCTTGGTTTCCCTAGAAAACAACCATAAAGACATTCCTCAAAAAAGACAATTATATGAGGTTTCCGAACATGTGTGTCCGAAGAACTTGAGTGTAAACATGGGCCTGAGCAAAACTGCCCATCTACTCTGCACAACAAATGAGCCCAAACAAATCGAGCCTCATGGTGAAGGTTTTGCTTTTTCTTCAGATCCCTTCTTCCAGGGGATGTTTTGCTGGGCGTTCAATATTTGCAGACTTTATGCATGGGCCGGTTGGGTGGATTGGTGCAGTGTATGTACGAATTGGATCTGCTTCCCAATTCGACGCAAGCCGCTGCTCGGTCATGCACATCTTCGTGGGGAGCAGAATGAGCATTCCACGTGCGTAGCAAACTAGGTCCCCAAGTTAGTTTTTCTTTCTCTCCCCTTTTCTGGTTGGTTTTGGGTTCCCATACTACAATAGACTACAGAAAAAAGTTGGTACCCTTATTCTAACCTCTCTACTGGAGGACCTAGCAAAGGTGCCACTGAAACACGCATCCTCCGCTTTTGCGGGGACCGTGTTCTTTGACACTTTCGAGGGATGATCAAGGTTAGAAGCTGGGGGAAAATTGTCCCTTTCACCTACGTACCATCGGACTTACGCACTGTAGAACGGAAGACAAGGCACCCGAAGATCCACCCGAGAAGCCCACACATGATGCAAACCATTGGCCTCGCCGATTCTTCCCAGGTTATTGGCTACAGATGGCTTGTAACACAGGAAGCCGCCTTTTCGGCCACTTGTGGCCCCGAGTTTCTCCTAAAAACTTGGCTGGAATTAGGACCCCAGCAAAAAAATACATATATTTTTTGCCTGGTTGGTGGAAAACAAAAAAAGCCCCCCCTTCCCAAAAAAAAACGCGAAAAGGGGGAGCTAACTCTGGGGAAGAAAAGGCCCGGCCCCCGCCCCAATCCACCAGCCGAAGCACAAGGCATGGGCCTTGTGCTCCAGGTCCGCCAAGCGCGGCGCGCGGCGCCTCGCTTGCGCAAGGACACGGCGCCCCACCGCGGGCGCCTCTGGGGCTTTTTTGGGGCTTCGTGATATTGAAGCTTTGGTTTCTCTGTTGCCATGTCTGGATATTGAATGTGTTGTAGTCATGTTGGTGAATGTTGCGTTTCTCTGTTGGCATGTTTGTGTTTGATTTGTGGGTGTGTATTGGTTGCTTGTGTGTTTATGTCGGTGTGTGTGTGTGTGTGTGTCAAAGCGTATGCGTGTTTGCGAGTCATTGTTTTTGCTTGACTGCATGCTTACTTGCTTGCTTGCTTGTCTGTCTGTTGGTCGGTCGCTTGGTTTCGTCCGTCCGTCCCTCGTCCGTTCGTTTGTGGTGTGCCGTTTGGCTTTGGCATTTGCTTGCGGTTTGTGTTTGACTGTTTCGTGATGATTTGTTTTATTGCGGTATTGTTTGGTTGTTTGGGTTTGTGTGTGTGTTGCTTCATTGTGTGCTTATTGTGTGTGATGATTGATCCTTGTGTTTGTGTCTGTATGTCTTGCTGATGTGTAGCTTGACTGCGGGTGCTTTGCGTTGTTGGTGATGTTTGCATGTTCTGTTGAATTTTTGTTGGTTTGGCTTGCTTCGGTTTGGATAGGTTTGCTTTACTTTGCTTGGTTTGGTTTGGTGTACTAGTTTGTTTGCTTGCTTGCTTGCTTGTTTGTTTGTTTGTTTGTTTGATTGATTGATTGTTTGTTTCGTGCTTGCTCTGTTTTGGTGAACATTGCTTTTGTGCGTTGTTTTAGTGCTTGGTTAGTTGATAAACTATAGGCAAGCAAGGCAAGCCAGGTGGAACAAACCCTAAACAACAGTCGTTAAGTATTCGTTAAGTATTCAGCTCAGCGGTGAGTCCTTTTGAGCCGCCATGCATCATGTAATTGTGGAAAACGTCTCATGTGTTTCTCCATATATCAGCAAGAGGCTTTGCTTGTGGTAGCCCCCCCAACCCAAACTCGACATAACAAAAGCAAAAGCAAAAAAACGCCAGAAATCTGCGAGTAAATGGCTGTGCCTGAAAAGGAAACCCTACAATCGTTTGGGCCCATTTTGGTCTCGCTTCAAGCATCCAACATGTCTCCAGGGGTCCCGTCCACAGTCAAGGAACCCCCCCCCCCCACGTGGCCAATGAGGGCTCTGCCGGCCATTCGATGTGACGAACCCTTAGCATATCAGAGCCCTTGGCCCACCGAATCTGCAAAAACAACAGCGCCGGGAAGGCCATTCGGCGAGGTTCGAACTTGATTTAGACATGCCATGTCAGCAACTCCAACTTTGACAGCGCAAAGAATGGCTTCTTCACTTTACAGCCCTCACGAACACCAAACCTATCTTGACAGTTCAAGTTTTGCCTGTTCTGGTAGTTGAGATACAGAGGTAGACATGCTGAAGCAAAAGCGCAACATTATTCCTAGCAAGATTGTCATTTGAGTTCCGCATCACGCTTCATTCACCCACATTCCCTACCAACAAGCACGTTTAGGATTCCATATCAAAGAAAAGCTGCGTTTCTCACCTCGTTCCAGGGTGCCGCCAGGTCACTTACGCAGCACGTGCAGCAAGGCCGAGCCTCAATTCCGCGCAAAAGACCTTTTGATGTCGACACACATGGCAAAGAATCAAGGGCTTCGCAAGGCCGCAAAGCCGCCCAGGATTTGACCGTGCAAGTTGGTAGGACAACCGCCCCGGATTTTCTGTCTTACTCAGGCCTCGCGAGAATCAAGGCCGTGTGGGCCTGATTTGCAACCAAAAGAAGAATAACTTGCTCGTTTCATCTCTTTTCTTGGTTGCGAAGGCAAGCCACCCACAACAAAGGCAAGGAACTGAGCCTCGAGTTTCCGCCGATGGACGCCCGACCCAAACGGGCCACAGATCGGAGCTATTCCATTTCCCCATCTTTCCGGCTCTTACCCTGGCAACGCAACTCGTGCTATTGTCCGGTTCAAAAGCGCCCCGAAACGGTCCCGCAAACCGCAAATGCGCAGCGTCTCATCGTTTTGCGTGTTGATTCCCACGGCAAACCGCTGGGATCTGCCCCGAGTCTGCCCAGAAACAAGTTCTCAACTCGTTGGGCATCTGAAATGACGGACCGACCTGGCAGCAAGGTTCAGGACATTGCCAGCTCGGGTTTCCACCAAGGCCCCTTGAACTCAACATCTCAAGAGGACTTCCAGAAAGGCCCCTTTTCCAGCCAGGGGGTCCATGAAGCCGCCCACCGGCCGAGACAACGTCCGTCGCGCCCAAAAGGCAGCGATTTCCGCCAGGGTGCGGGACCGGGAGTTGGTCTGCAGCTCTCTCTCGGAAGGCCGGGTCTCAGTCACCACCCCAAAACTGGTTGGGGCTCCAAACGCGTTGTTTTTGTTTTTTCTTTTCTTCGGTTTCATCCCTAGCCATGGGAATTTGGGAATATGGCTTTGCTGATTGCATTCTTTTCGGTTTCCCCAGGAGCGGTTTTCCCCTGGGAGCGGCTCACCGGATTTTGGGGATAGTCCGAACTGGCGTCTTTTTTGTGCCTTTTGGAGGGCCAACTATGCCTTTCCACCACAAAACGAAGACCCAATTGGATTCTTGTTTGGCCAACGAGAGACCGAGAACTGACAAACGCACATCAAAAAACACCTCTGAGCAATAGCACCAAGAAGCAAGAAGGACCCGAGAGACCGCCAACTTGCCCAAAGGACTTCCTTCATTCGAAAAAAAGTCTGTCGCGCACCAAAACCCCAGGGCCAGGCGCTCCGAACATTTCCCAGAGCGGAGATGCCCTCGAAAGCCCTTATTTGACCCGCGAGGAAGAACCCCCTGGTTATCATTGAGGTGATCACTTTGGTGGTTGGATTCCTCGGTTACACCCAATGTAATGATTTGTCCCAATCAATGGGTGTGTCTTTTTGGGGAGAATCCCTTCTTTGTTTGCTTGAAAGGGTACCGAACACACCCACCATTTTGGGGATCTTCCTTTTTGAGACAAACCCCGATGTCCAATGCAACCATCCCCCCTACCTTGAGAGGGAGGGGAGCTGCCACATTCCATTTTTCTAGTCGAGTCTTCCCCACGGCAAAATGGGACTAAATGGAGGTCTCCGAACGGTACCCTGACGGTTCTGTTGGGAACCCTTGTCTGAAACTCCGTATTCTTCCATTTGCTTAAGCCCCCTGGAAGAAATAGTAATAGATTCCCTTTAAAACCACAGGGGGCAACAAAAAAATGTTCTTCAGCAAATGGAAGAACTTGCCTCCGTTGTTCCATCCCCATCCCAAAAACGGGGCCCCCAAAGTTCCACGCAAGTGAGGCCCCCAGCCACTTCATCCATCTCCATGGACCACCGCTCCGGCAAGACGTCACAGTCGGGCTGTGCCCCTCGGCGCAAGAGGCCCAGCACCAGGTTCCCATGTTTCCAACTTGCAAACATCGCCCAAACCAAAGGAAGCTCACCTACACTTGGCCTGCAGTTCTGAAATACTTGTCCTCGTGCCCGGCTCGTTGTGACGCACCTACACTTGGCCCCAAAGGTGATACAACCCATTCGTTGAAGTTTCCGCTTACGGAACCCTCAAGGTCAACCACTTCGTTATGCTCTGGCTGTATGTCCCCTTCAAGCATCTCGTCAAAGGGAAGCTCAATTGGAATGGCCCCAGATGCTGAAACCACCAAAGCGAAGGGGAAAGCAAAACGCGCTTGTGTCCAAGCCGACCCATTCCGCACCCGCAAAAGACGAGCCACTGTACCACTTCAAGAGGGGCTCCTGGCAAATCGATCCAACCGCTGCAAAACTCGCACGGGCTGCATGAAGCACGGCAGTCAGGGCCGAGCATGCGAATACTCCGCCCAACACTCCGAATCACAAGGGTAGCCGCCTTCATATTGAGTCATATGGCCATGTAAAGACTTGAGGCGGATATCTGTTGTCCCTTACTCATCTTCATCCATCCCCGGGCTTTTTAGCACGTGGCTCATATGTGGTTAAGGTCGCCTACCTCTAGCCAGGCTCACTTTGCCTTCCGCAACTTGAAGCTACTGACCCCCACAGAGCGTGAGGTGGGCGGTCCCCCCCTTTTGGGAGGAAATCGGGTGTTGTTATTTCCGTGTCCTGCTCAAACAGTAGACTACCAATTTGAAAAATCGCGTCAGTTGCTCAAGTGACCCCAATGACCGTCTGGCTGTCTCCGCATCTCCTTGTCACGAACAGCTTCCAGAGATCGGAAGATGTCCATGATCTGAGCCAGCATGTCTCAAGCAGCAGCCAAAAAAACGCGCGCCGCGCCCGGGGAAAGAAAAGGTGGGCCGTTTTTCCGGGGGGGACTCCAACATGGCGTTCCACATGGCCTTCTTTCCGCTTTTAAAGTCCCGAGAAACCGAGCCACATGTTGCCTGAGATCGGATGAGTGAGTCCATGTCCCAGTGACTGGGTGTGCAATCGCACAGGTTCACATAGCCCCCAACCACCTCGGTGTCCCGGAGAAGCCTTCCCTAGAACTTCCCAAAGTGGGCATCCAAGAGGTTGCCAAGCTCCTCCAACATGCTTTGAATTTTCAGGTATCCAGACTGGGCTCTTCAAAAAAGAGGGCTGGTCAATCTCAATGCTTAGTCCTACTTGGGAAACTGCTAAAGCTAGATCCTCCAGTAGAGAGGTTAGATGTCGGCTACCTTTTTCTCTCTGTAGTCTATGTTAGTAGGGGAACCCAAAACCAACAAAAAAAGGGGTGAGAGGTCGGGCACCAAGCTGGACCTAGAAAGGAACCCCCTTCGAATCCCGGTGGATGCCAATGCCAGCAACACCAACCACCAGAAGGATATTTACAATGATTCCCATGATTCCCCCAAAAAGCCGCGCAGCGGGTCAATCCCTATTTGGGTGTGGGTGTCTGCGGGTGTGTTCTTTTTAGGGACCCCCCCCAAATGGCGGGTTTGCCCTTCTGGTTTTCCTTTAGACGCGACAAAAACCGGGCTGCCCTCAGATCCCCTGCTAAAAGTGACTTTCTTTCAGTGGGTCAAATGGAAACCACCACTAAACCCATCACAAACCTCAAAAGCGCTAGGGAACGGAGCCACCAACAAGAAAGCGCCTCCTTGCCATTTCGGGCCGTCCCGTCCCGAGAGAAATTTTCTGGGCGCTCAGGCGATGTGGCACTCCGAGTGCTTCCACGAGATGAGGCCGATGCGCCCGCCCTCGCCCAGCAGCCCGAACCTGTAAGCGGAGAGCAGCGAGAGCGGAGAGCAGCGGAGAGCAGCGGAGAGCAGCGGAGAGCAGCGGAGAGCAGCGGAGAGCAGCGGAGAGCAGCGGAGAGCAGCGGAGAGCAGCGGAGAGCAGCGGAGAGCAGCGGCGCGGCGCCAAAATTCGGGGGTTCGACGCCAAAACGCCCGTGATGGAGGAAGAACCCATCAGTTCGACCCAAAAATGGCTGTAAAGGTTTTGTACACCAAAGGATTTGCGGCTATGCAAGGATAGGTTCTAAACTCCATGGCTTCCACACTTACTTTTTTCAATCACGAAGGCGAAGGATGCAACTGTCCGGAAACTCCTAGTCTACAAGCTGCCAAGGACCCCTTTGAAGAGTCCAAATTGGTCTGTCACTAGGTTCGCAGCGGAGTTCAAGGAAGGACGTCCATATTGCAGGTCGCTTGATTTGATAGACACCCAAACAAATCTGGCTACCGTTGGGCCTAGCGGCTCGCACAGTAATCTCGGGGGTTGGTCAAACTGACCTGCAAATAGATTGTCCACTTTTGGGGGAGCACGTTACAAGATTCGTATCTATCCACAACGCGGCGGACCCCTGCCAAAAACACATCTCTGTGTGTGTGTGTGTGTGTGTGTGTGTGTGTGTGTGTGTGTGTGTGTGTGTGTGTGTGTGTGTGTGTGTGTGTGTGTGTGTGTGTGTGTGTGTGTGTGTGTGTGTGTGTGTGTGTGTGTGTGTGTGTGTGTGTGTGTGTGTGTGTGTGTGTGTGTGTGTGTGTGTGTGTGTGTGTGTGTGTGTGTGTGTGTGTGTGTGTGTGTGTGTGTGTGTGTGTGTGTGTGTGTGTGTGTGTGTGTGTGTGTGTGTGTGTGTGTGTGTGTGTGTGTGTGTGTGTGTGTGTGTGTGTGTGTGTGTGTGTGTGTGTGTGTGTGTGTGTGTGTGTGTGTGTGTGTGTGTGTGTGTGTGTGTGTGTGTGTGTGTGTGTGTGTGTGTGTGTGTGTGTGTGTGTGTGTGTGTGTGTGTGTGTGTGTGTGTGTGTGTGTGTGTGTGTGTGTGTGTGTGTGTGTGTGTGTGTGTGTGTGTGTGTGTGTGTGTGTGTGTGTGTGTGTGTGTGTGTGTGTGTGTGTGTGTGTGTGTGTGTGTGTGTGTGTGTGTGTGTGTGTGTGTGTGTGTGTGTGTGTGTGTGTGTGTGTGTGTGTGTGTGTGTGTGTGTGTGTGTGTGTGTGTGTGTGTGTGTGTGTGTGTGTGTGTGTGTGTGTGTGTGTGTGTGTGTGTGTGTGTGTGTGTGTGTGTGTGTGTGTGTGTGTGTGTGTGTGTGTGTGTGTGTGTGTGTGTGTGTGTGTGTGTGTGTGTGTTTTTTGAGGGCCTGCATTGTGGGCTTGAACCGAAAACACTTGTTGAGGGTTCCACCGTTTAGACACAAGCCTCATCTATTCATTCTATTGCAAGATATGTAAGCAAGCTTCTCTTTTTCCAGACTTCCAGACATAGGTTTTCACCGAAGGGAAAACCGAACCAAGCGCCGGTTTTGATTGGTCTAGGTGCACATGAAGCATTTGCGAAACAACCTCCCTTGAAATCCCGAAGATCAACAAAATCTGGACTCCCAAACATACTTCATGTTTCGTATGATGATTCTCCCCTCCCCTCCAGGTATGCAAATAACTCTTCCCACAAAGCGACCCAGGTCAAAGCTCCCCGCTCAAAAACTGCGCCATCTGCAAGTCAAATGCGCGCTTGAAAGGGGGCTGTCTGGAAACCTGCTTGTGGTTCTGAAGTTGAACCAAAAAGGAAACCGAACACCTAGAGGTGAGCTTGACGTCCAGGACGCAGGCAATGCCCCCGCACACATGGGGAGTGAGCCCGAGGCATTTCTGGCTTAGTCGACTAAATGTGCAAGCTGCTCTGCCTCTGATGTTCCGAGCGATGTCGGGACTTGGCCGCAAATGGTCCTTGACTGTTGGAAGATGGGGCAGTCCGGGGGAGACAAAAAGAGCCCCGGCTCCTGCAAGCTACACTGCCACGAAAGTTGGACAAACACCCTTCTCAAAGGGGTTTGCCATCAAATTTCTCAAACATGTCCAACACATGTCCCGTGGGAGACTTTGGAAATCGAACTTGCTGAGTCCCTCGTCGCAAGTATCTATACAAGGGTTTGTGGCGTGGGCACTGCTACACCCTGGGCTTTCACCCAAAACCAAAATGAGCTGTTTCCAGCTAAAGCCTTCAAATCTTGGACTATCTCAATAGTTTCCCAGTGTCCGGGCGCAGACGCCTGAGGCCCCCCACGCTGCGCAAATGCCCCTCCGCATCTCATCGAACCTGAGAACTAGCGGGTTCCGATTCGCCTTTCAAAGGGAAACTATGAACACCAACATATGAATGCACACGCCCTCCCAGGAGGATGGGGATGAAACTGGCCATCTGTCTGGATTCCGCGTGTGTGGTCCGTTTAAAATATGTTGAAATAGCACGTGCTCTGGGCGACAATAGCCAAGCTTACCCGTCTGCACCAACTCCAAATACTCGCTATGTCTTGCTTCTGCGAAAACTAGGCGTTCCAAGGCAACCCGCTGGAATTCAAGAAACCTTGCTTGGAGCAGAGGCAGTGACTGGACTCGAAGGTTGCAAACACCGGGGTACTCGAAACAAGCTACCACACGGGTCTAGAATGGAGCTTGTCACTTGTTTTTTTGGTGGAAAATCAAGGTCCATGTATCTTCAACCAGGGCTGATGTCGTACACCCACAAAAATACATATGTATTAATATATATATATATATACGGCACCCAATACAACGCCATTTGGCTACATACAGTACAAGGCGACAATACCCACTGGGGCCGTCATTTTTCAGGGTACCCAGCACGTGATTGGTGGTTGGTAGATATGCATACACGTATAGGTACAACAAGAGTTTATGTTGCTCTCGGCTAGTAGGGGTGCAACCTCCGCACAAACTTCGAAGGTTCGGAGGCGTTGTGAAGCGCTGCTTCGTTTTGGTAATTCTATGGGCAAATGAATGAGGGCGTGACTTTTTCCCAAGTCGCTTGCTTTTTGGGTGACTGCTTACGCTTCCCTGCCGATCTTAAAAACGGAGACGATCACGAGCGACGCCTGGAATATGCTTCTTGTTTTTTGTTCCGTGAGCTGCTGTTTTTCACGGCACCTGATGACTAGTCCTTGAGTCAAAATGAAGGCCTGGGTTGGCCGCATTTGGGTTGCCGTAAGCGTACAAAAACACTTTACCCTTTGGGGGCATCTCTGGTGGAGGCATGTCGGTTTGAAGTGGGGACGTCAAATGCCAATGCTGCCAATGCAGACATGTCGACCCTCGAATTGCTTTTCGAGTCCCAGCATCCAAGGGAATCGAAGCGACCCCTGTTCGATGCTTTGATGTTTCGGGACCTGCTTCCAACCTCACTCAGCGCGAGGCTCGTTGTTCAAGTGAATCCGCAACGCCTCAACCGCAACAGCAATCATCGCTCAAACGGCCAGACTGCGGAGCTCCATTGATTGACACTGTGGATGGACAAAATTCTGCACCATCTACGAAACCCTGGATTGATGAGTCCCCCTGTACATACCAAGCAATGGTTGCCTTTGGATTCAAAGTGGCGTAGGGTTTTGTCCATTCACGGTATGGACTTGAACAGGTTCCTGGATTCCTTGTTCGGATACCGCCATACGAGGTGCTTCACTGCCACTCTGGGAGGCTAGGTCCCATGACTTTGAGACCTCCGACTTAGGTCCGAATGAAAACTTGAGGGAGGTCATGGAAGCCTTGGAAGTCGGGCTTGAAACTTTGGAACTTGCTTTTGACTTGCCAACTGCTAGATGCGGATAGTTTTTTGAGAAGGCATCCATTTGTATCTTACTTTTGGAGAGTGCCCATTCAGCGGCTCAGGAAACCCGGGAAAAAAAGAAGAAGAAAACAAAAGGCAGGTTCTAGACCTCCGCAGCCAATGCAACAATCAGCTTGCCCCGTGTGGATTGGTTCAGCTTTCAACTTGGGTCTAGTCAATCCGAGCTGAACCCTCTTCCCCAAATTTCCCTGCCCCCACGGGATCGGCGAACCGAACCCGACCTGGAAGGTCAGCTTGGCGGGATGCATCGCTTGGTACTCCGGCCCCTGCGGAGCTGCAAAAAAAACGGAAATCGTTCACAGTAGTTCGGTCAGAAGCCAACCAAAGCACCGAAAGATATGCCAAAGTAGGTGATGCGCACGATGCTAAAGTGGGCTGGAACAAGTAAGTGCACCCGCCACTCATGTGACAAGCAACAACACAATTTTCTACCTCTACCATCAGATGGTACATGGCTGAGGCACACGCTTGCAGATTGGCGCGCCGAGAAACCGTGATTGGGTTCTACAGTGAAAGGCAATTGTGCACCCGCCCCTGATGCGCTTCGGGCGCCCAGCTGGGCCAGGACCTAAACCTCGAACCTTGATGCTAAGCCTCGACCCTAAACCCTGCAAACCGACCCTGAAGCCAAAAAAAGAAATGCCAAACCAAACCGTCGGGCGACAGCAACTTTTCCAACATAGCTAATGGTTCGATGAACATGGGTCATCATGTTAAGTGTACAAACAAAGCGGAGCAAACTATGGGTTCATGTCAATGAGTGTCCAACGGGCTCAGATGACCTGCGTCGTCCAAACAGATTCCAGGACCTACTCATGCCTGATTCACAAGGCTCAAGTGAGAAGGGTCCACGCACATGCAATCAGACGCCCCCCACGATGTAAGGTCTGCCATGTGTATGATGGCCATCATCATCACTGCACGTTGCGGCTTTTGCTGGCAGGGACAATGCAGTAAGGCTGCGTGCTACATTTTTTCAGGAAGCCTAGCGCAAACGCGGCTGTAGGAAGCAACGCGCTTGTTTGATGGCAGGGGCCTGGCCCGCGGAGGTTCGCACTGCAATGCTGGGTGTGTGCTTTTTGGGGGACGCCTCGTGCCAAACACGTTTTTTTTGAAAGCGAAGTGCGTCCGTCTTTGACGGCAAGGCCGCAGCGCGGTCGATGTCTTCTTGTAGGCTCAGGCTACGACGCTTGCACAATCGGAGCTCTAAAGCCATGGCAGTTGCTGGAAACGCGCAAAGTCCGCCGACATTGTTCGGCGTGTCGGATACCTAAGAGAGGACTATTGGATACCTAAGAGAGGATAGAGGATAACCCCCCCCTTAGTCCCCCCCGGGACACGTCAAATACGCATGGTTTTTCGGTCGCCACCCCCCCCCCCTCCCCCGCGTACCGCGCGGCAATTTGATGACGTTCCACTAAACGTAGTCTTCGGGGAGCGGGTCTGGAGAAACGGGGGTCCCAGGCTCGAATCCTCTTTCTGCCGGCTGAGGTTTTGTGCTGCCTTTTGCGGAAAACTTTGAGACACACGGTGTTCGGTGTTTTTCCTTTGCTGACACCATTGAAAAAAACATTGTGTTTTCCGATTTCCTTGACAATTGGCACCAATTTCCCCCCAATTTCCCCTAATTTCCCCCAATGCTTCCCCGCGAATTGCGCCTTACTTTCTCACCAATTCCCTCCCACTTTCCTTTCAATTTCCATCCGACTTCCCCCCAATTTCCCCCCCAGTGTCCCCCAAATGTCCTGGCAAATTCCCCAACCCCAGCTTCCTTCCAAGTGTCGCCCCCAATTTTCTTCGTGTCGGATACTTGGCCGACCGTGCGGCAGTTTCATGACGCTCCACTAAACAAAGTCTTCGCCCTTGCGACTTGTCACGACCCTTGCGATGCCCCTGCGGGACCCTATGACAAGTCTTCAATCCCGACTCCGAGTGTGCTCTGGAAAATCCTGTCCTGTTCACACCCTTGCGTCTTGTCACGACCCGTGCGATGCCCCTACGGGACCCTATGACGAGTCTCCTACGGGACCCTACGCCCTGTTTGGTCGCCACCCTTTCCCAACATTTTACTTGGAGGCATGGTTCGGCGCCCTTTTTGGGAGCACCCTCTTGGTGGCACTCAACACTCCGCCGACATTGCTCGGCGTGTCGGGGGGAACCAGAGAGGACAGAAGAGCATACTAGGGGGACACGGGCGAGAGGAAGAAGGAGACAAGCTAGATGCCAATGTCGGCGGACTGAGCCGGAGGCTCTAAAGTTTCACTTGCGAAGGCAAAGGGTCTACGAGCAAAGGCTAACTCAATCTACCCGGTCACGCTTGGAATGGCCGGAGCTCGAAGAGGCTTCTGGATGTTGGGCGCTGGATGCAAGGCAGTTGCCTCCTACAAAAAGAGTCCTGCAAACACCGGGGTCCCAGCAACACTCAGAGCTGAGGCTAGCAACGCATGCAACCTGGTCACTTGACTCAGCCGGATTCTGCCTTGGCCTACGGGACCGAGATCCGTCAGCACACACTGCGCTGCGAAGGCAACGCAAGACTCTTCAAGGCTATGATGCGGCCAAGCGCTGTCAAGCGCCTGCCGTTCACGAAGATCTTCTGCGGCCAGAGGTGCTGAAATACGCCGGCTCACTTCCAGCAGCACCTGGTCTGGCTGTCTTCACATCACGCCCGCCGCGAACGAGCGCCATGATTTCGGACGTGCCTGCCATGAAGGAGCAAAATTCGGCGCTGCCAGGCCCAACGGCCGCCACTCCGCAAAGCGAAGCACCTGCGCCTTTGCCAAGCTGACGGGACCATTCCGGATGGCGGTCCTGCTAAAACACGATTGTGTTCAGGCATCATCGCTTGCCGGCCCTAAGGTTCTCTGCGACTCAAATATATTGATCCTGCACAACAGCCTGTAGCGCATGCTCATCCATCCAGCTGCACTCTTCCGTTGATATTCAAGATGAGGATGATTCGCAATGGTCTGAGCTTCTAGGTGCGCCCATCTTCCACCGAATCATTGGTCGCCACTCAGCGCAACATGGCATCATCACATCCAACTGCAGCAGTGCTGGTTTCGGTACAGCTGCGGGTTGTAGAGTTTCAGGCTTAGGCTTTCAGGTTTAAGGGATAGGTCTAGACTTCAGGTGTAGAGTTTCGGTTTGGGTTTTGGCTCAAGGTTTTGGGCAAAGGTTTAGGGAAAAGGTTCAGGGATTAGGCGTAGGTTTAAGTTTAGAGTTAGGTTTCGGGTGAGGGTTGGCTGCGGGGTTTCATTCCCACCTCCCCGTCTCCCATCGCGATCCTTCTTGAATCAGCCATAAGTAGATCCTGGAGTTTTGGACAACACAGCTGACACACAGGTCATTTGAGTCCGTTAAACCATGCGGACAAGCCTATGCGCTCCGACGACTCTAGGTTACGCGGCCACTATGGCATCATGTGAGTTTGCAAATGATTGTTTGGCTGTTGGTGCCCATGGACGGAACGCAAACAAACGGAACCCACGGACCCCTACCCCGACCACCGCTAGGGGGAATGTTTCAACAGAAGGTTAAAAGATTCAAGGGTTGTACTGACGGGCAACTCTGGAACTCTGCGCGAGGAAGCACACCAAGCCGGTCCAAAGAACCAACCGAAAAGGCCCAGATAAATATCGAAGGTTGAACCAGAAACCACAAGCCACGCTCAAACCCCCAAACAAAAGCTCAAACCAACAACCCAAGCTCAAAGCAGAATGTACACAATGTTGAAGATGAAACCACAAACCAGGGTCAGACCAACACGTAATGTTCAAAGTGAAGCCCAACATCAAAGGGGCAGGCCAAAACCAAAAAGCAAAGTCCAGGTCAAACATACCAGTAATGCGCAAGGCCGCACCAAACAGCAAAGGGCAGAACAAACATCAAACACACAAGTGATTGCCGAAGCCAAAAAATTTCAAGGCCAATTCTCGCGAGAGCTTTCAAGTAGATGGCCCGATCAGTAGATGGCGCACTTCTCCCATGGTGGGCTTCATCTCCTTGCTTCGGGGCTGTGAAGGGAAACCAAAAGGACACCCGCTTTTTGGCTCGCCCATGCCTTGCCCTGGGCCACCAGTGCCGCAAACTCCCGCGTCCGGCGCCTCAGAAATCAGCCCCAGATGGCTTCTTTCCGCGGCTTCCAGGACATGACTCACGTGACTCCAAGGAAAGGAAGGATGTCCCGTGAACTTTGCTGCATGCCCTGCAAATTTACGATCCGCACAGAAGGTTGCTCCGCTCATGGCAAGGTCGTGCAAAACGTCATCGTTCTCTTGACATCGACCACGACCATCCCCAGATAGCGCGGGGGATTCAGAAATTTTCAATATTCCTCAGCGCGCGCCAATCCTCGCAGAGAGTCGCGCGCATGTTACAAAGTCGAAAAAAGTTCTCAGTTTTGACAACAACAACAACCCCACCCCCCACCTTCAAAGAAGAGTCTTACTACCGAGCTCTCTCACGCGCGTTAAGAATCTTCTCTATCGAAACTTAACCTTAACTTTCGTAGCTGCTAATGTCGAGCCCAAGAATCCGACCTTTCACGCCCAAGCTATTTACCCAGAGTGTACCTTCCCAGCCTATTCCCCAACTACTTGCCTGTATGCAGATGCCTCTGTGCAAGTTGCTCTGCGCGAGTAGCTCATTGAAGCTAGCTCTGTACGAGTTGCTCTGCGTATCTCTGCGCACGTGACTCTGCGCAAGTAGCTCTGCGCAACTTCGCTTTGCGTGAATGGCTCTGTTCAACTAGTTCTGTGGAAATCGCTCTGTGCAACTGACTCTGTGCAAACGGCTCTTTGCAGGTTTGTCTGCGCAAGTGATTCTACGCAACTTACTTTTGTGCAACTTGGTCTGCGCAAATGACTCTGCGCAAGTTAGTCCAAGGGCTCCAAGCGGAAGGACCCTTTGCTATCTTGCTTTCGGCAAAAAAAGACTCGCCAAGTTGGCTGTGGGTCAAAATCCAAATCGTACGCCCGGTGAACATCCCAATCCAACCACTAAAAAAGGTTCTAGAATGGGTAGTGAACTCACCTACCAACCAAAATGGGATTACATTGGTTTTGACAACCACAGCCACTTCTGTTTCTCACCATGGACCACTCGGCTCCAGGCGGCAGCGCGTTCCGGCTCCGTGCCAAGCAGACCACGTCGGCGATGCGGCGGGCCGCTGCGGCATCTGCCGTCTCCCCATACCTTGGGCTGACTAGGAAAGCAACCCTTGGGCACCCTGATTTTGAAGTGCAACTGAAAAGGACACCATAGAAGACGGGCAAACGACTCGTGGGGCGTTCCCCAAATATTGCAAGCCAGCTGCTCGGAAATTGTAATAAATTGGTAAGCTACAGGTTTGCCCTGCTTCCTACCGAATCCACCAAAGGGCAATTTGAGTCATAAGCAAAACCTAGTATCTTCGAGCTGCTTTGAATATTTTGCGCCTTCAACGTGTGTTTCCGGTGAACAACAGCAAGCCAGTTGCCAGGCCAAAAGCGTTTCAGCCCCAGGAAAGAAGGCCTCACAACCATGGACTATTGACATGAAACAGCAACCCCCTTATTGGAGGACTCATGTACTCCTGGAGCTTGGGCAGGGGCACCTGTATTGGAGGACTCATATTTGGCCCTGGTTTTTTCAGGAGTCCTCTGGAAAGTGGTTGGGACAGAAAACCCAACCACTAAAATGATGTCCACCAGGTCCCGAAGTAAAGTCCATGCCCATGTCACTTTTCGAATTCGGAACTCCGCTTCTGAAAGCCCAGGGGCTGCGAGAGGACCCGGACAATCTCCTGGCATGGCTGCTGGCTTTGGGCCATTTGGGCACCCACATGGGAAGGTGACAATGCCAACCACCCACGACCCCAGGGCAATTTTGGTCCAAATCACCACCTCCACATGTTTGTGGAAATTAGAGTGTAGACAAACTGGAAAGGTTGATTTTGACAATTACAGCATGTTGTTTGTTACAAACAAACAAACAAACAAACAAACAAACAAACAAACAAACAAACAAGCAAGCAAACAAACAAACAAACAAACAGTACTGTGCAAACGTCTATGAAAAGGCCAGATTCTATTGTTTCCAGCAGCCCCATGCTTTGTTGCTGGTTCATCTTGAAACCTAGAACTGGCCAGGTGGGGGCCACCAAAAAATCCACCTGTGGTCGGTTCTTAGCCAAAAAGGAGACTGAAACTCGGGGTTGATTCTCCCCAAAGGGGAAACGCCGGGGTAGGCCACTGGTGTCCCAAGAGCTGTTGGTCGATGATTCTTGGGCCTGCCCGAGGCTTTCTCAGCCGCGGGACCAGCAGCCTCGGCAAAAACGAACCTCCCAAATGGCCGTGGGTCAAAAATCGGTACCCACCATGGGTTGCACTGGTAAATGGGAAAAGTAGACGAAACCCTGCGGTGTTTCTGATGGCTTGCTTCTGGCCCATACCCAAATTAGAACTTGCTGGCCCAGAACCAAACCGACCGAAACACCATGCCATGACTCTCTCCCGCAAAAAACGCGCCTCTAGACACCTATGGGCCCGGGGAAGAAAAAAAAAGACCAAGCCATGCCACGACTCTCCAAATTCGCACCTCGTGGGGGGAGGACATGAGGAAGTCCCAGGCCGTCTGCCCCTGGCTCTGGTCGAAGCGCAGATCCAAGGGACCGTCCGCCTTGAAGGGCTGGGCTGCAGCGCGTTTTGGGGGGTGGGGGGGGGGTGGGGGTCCCAAAACAGGAATCGGTCCCCTACAATGTGGGGCGGATGGGGATTGGGGGGGGGGGATCCGCTAAAATGCCGGATCTCCTTTTGGTCTCCTTACAAAACCTGCCAAACAAGGGGGTCCACCATCTTGAGAAACTCCCCATTTGGCTTGCTGTTTGGGGAGGCGGGTGTGAAGATGCCAAACAAATGCGCTTGTCTTTTTGCAGGCGGGCGGGGTGGCAGAGTGTCAGTCGACGCGTCGTCTCAGGAAGATTAGTCTTGGAGTAGGGCTTGTCCTTCACCTTGCGGGCAAGGTCCACTCCGGATCATTGTCCGTTGCCCTTCACAACCGGGATGTTGCCTAACACTGCTTAACCTACAGGCACACCCAACGACCAAACAACAACGGTACTCTGTGCGCAAAAAAGTCATACGTTGACCACCGGGTATGACTTCTTGCTTGGGGAAGCACTCGGAGTGCGATGCCTGGTGTCGTCATGAAAAAACCAATGGTTGTCCTGGCTCCCCCCCCCCCAATCCTGACAGAGGACCTACTAGCACTTTTTGAATGGGGCAACACAGGATCTCATCTCATCCTTGTTGGGATCTCTATTTGGCCTTTGCGGGCTTTCGTCTTGGGGGCCAACAACAAAACCACAGGGCGGACCTGGGGAAACCTTCCCGGGCAGGTTGGTTCGGCGCGAACTGTACGTAGCAAGACGAATGCCTCGCACGGCTTAAAAGCGGCTGGAGGATCGCTCGAACATGGCCCTTTGCGCCAACTTGGCAGCTTCCTACCCCCCACACCAGGGCCCCGGGATCCTGGACCGAAGCCCTAAGAAAAAGCAACCCCGTAAGCAGCCATTTGAGTCACAAACAAAACCCGGTATTCACAATGGTCGACCCAGAACCATGCTTCAAGAATTCAGAAGGCGCATCTCCGCAGCTATTTATGGCAAGGGGATTGTCCCTTACTAACCTTCATCTACCCGGGTGTTGAGGACGTGGCTCATTTTCCACGAACAGATCCCTTTGTGGTATTCGCTAGGACAGAGATTGGCATAGCGGGAATTCGAAAGGACAGCCCCAAGGAAAGCAGTCTTTCGGCCTCAGGCCGAAAGCCCCGGTGGGCATCGTCGAACTGAGGGGAGGAGATGCCCAAGTCAAAGAGGACCTCGGACAATCGGCGTGTCTTGCCGGGTATTCATCCAAAAGGCGGGGCCCAAATGGCTGAACAAGGGACCCAAAATGGCTTTCCGTTCTATTTCCCCCAAAACCAAGCTGAAAAGGGTCGCCTCTAAAAACCCCCAAATGTGTTGCCCAACGAACCCGCCAGCGTCAGGCCCCCGACTTCATGGTGAAACCGACGTAGACACCGCCCGAATGATCTAACATCCATCCCATTTGGTGGGATCCATAGACAGTAAGTTTGGCCTGTTGCCTGTGGTTCGTCAGCTGCTCGCCCAATTCCATGTGCCTTAATTATCTTCAAGGGGTTCCCTGTGACCCCACCCCCTCCCCCTTTCGGGTGATGTCCACGGGTCTATAAGGCCAACCAAGAATGCATTGATGCCTAGCTTCTCCAAGTGCATTTGCGCTGGGACCCAAGAAACGTTACCTTGGCTACCATTGGCTAGGTGTGGAAAGAGCCCAAAGGGAACAATACCCCAGGCGTTCTCCCGGAGTGAACTTCTGCCATCTCGGCTTCCCCACTCATGAGGAAACCAAACTGAGCAAGCGATACTTCAGCAGAATGCCGAAGCCCGGGTCCCAGATTCGTGGCCCAAAATACTCAAGATTGAAACTGGCACCTGATTTTTCAGAAGCTTCAAATGTGTGGGACGAGTGACTCTAGTACTGGTCTGTTGCTTCGTTCGCTGGCTTCTTGGTCTGAATATATATATATATAATATATATATATATATATATATCGTCTTGCTTTGTTGCTGTTGCTCGTCCGCTTGGTTTGGTTTCTTGCTGCTGCATTGCCTTTTGTGAGAGAGAGAACAGATCGCATGAGGTTCTTAGGCAGATCTTAAGTCCGGTCATGCGTGTCAACTTCCTGTTGAAAATACTGAGACGTCCTCGAAAAAAAAAAAGACAAATTCGAACCTAGGGCGTCAAACTTTACAATCACAACGAAAAAGGAAATTGGTCGCAGAGTAAACCCTGCATCGCACCTTGTTGCTCTTTCCTTTTGCTCTTCTTGGACGGCATGGACTGCCATGTCTCAGGGAGAGTCTTGCATGCTTCTTGCGGATCCAGCCAGAAGTGAAAACCCACTGTCTCCAGGGCGAAAACAGTCCCTACCCCGAACTAGAATATGTGCCTGGGAAGGGTTAGTACACCGGCATACCTACCAGACCCCAAACACCCGGCTTCAGGCCAAAAGGCTCCCGACGGCGGCCTTTCAGACTTCAGCCGCGCCTGGCCGCGGTCTCAATCGCTGCGATTTCCTGTTGAAGGCTCCGGTCGGATAAGGATGGATACCCTCCCACCAACTAACATGGAAGTGCAAAAAGGCCCTTTCCAAGAGGAAAGTAGTCTTTATACAGGGATCTGTGCACTTCCATGTTAGCTGGTGGGAGGGTAAGCCCTGAGAAAGGCCCCAACAACCCATGAGGCTGGCGCCTGCCCTGGATGGGACACCACCCCCCTCATAAGAGAGCCCAAGGGACAAAGGCAACCAGCATCATCCGCAAACAAGCAGGCAGACAAACAAACAAACAAACAAACAGGCGAGCAAGCAAGCAAGCAAAACAAACCAAACCACCAGGAAGCAAGCAAGCAAGCAAGCAAGCAAGCAAGCAAAGCAAGTCAAAGCAAGGCAAGGCAAGGCAAGGCAAGGCAAGGCAAAGCACGCAAGCAAGCAAGCAAGCAAGCAAGCAGGCAGGCAGGCAGGCAAGCAAGCAAGCAAGCAAGCAAGCAAGCGAGCAAGCAAGCAAGCAAGCAAGCAAGCAAGCAGTCAATCAAATCACCACGCAGGCGAACGGACAACTCAACAATCAAACAAATGCACACGCACACACATGCGCGCACACACACACACACACCAAAAAAAGAGAGCACCATCCAACCAACAAAACACGTGTTGCAGAAAACCAACAAGTAACAAAGCCAACAAACAAACAAACAAACAAACAAACAAGCCAAGCCAAACCAAACCAAACCACACCAAACCAAACCAAACCAGCAAAGCTTCTTCCCACCCAACCCCCCATCCCTTTTCCCCCCGGCTAGAGCCTTCATGGAGCTGAAGGGTGCGTGGTGGATGGTGAAGCGTTCATCCGCCTTCGGCTCCGGGGGCTCCCCAAAAAATTGCGGCCGATGTGGACCCCTCAATTTCGGTGGTGGTGGGGCCCGTTCTTTGCGGCCGTCAGCTTTTTGTCGTTGCGTAAGAAAACACCTTTGATGATGAGGGGAAAAACCCTGGTAAAAGGAATCTTCGTCACGTGAGGCCTCTTTGGCGAAGTCGCTGTGGTTTGCCCACCAAGCTGATGTTTTGAAGGCTGGGGCCCTTGCAAAGACCCTGATGTTGGGAAACATCCTCACGCAAACACCTCTATGCCAAGGCAGAAATTGGACCGCAGCAAACCATGGCAAGCATGCCTCGACCGTGGAATCGCGAACAAAGTTTGGCCACAAAAGCAAAACGGGGGGCAAAGCAACGGTACCTTGCTGCTCCATGAAACGTGACCTAGCTTCTTGCGTGGATTGCCTAACATATTGTCCCAAAAAACACGGCAGGCGACAGGGAGACCGCCACCTTCGAGCCATTGGCGGGACACATCTGGCAGCAAACCAAAGGATCCCCGATCAAAAACCCTTGCCCTCGCGGTTTTATCCCTTTTGCCTCTTTCTTTTTTTCCGAGGGCCCTTTTTCCTACCGGAAAAGAGGGTTCAAATACAAACCCCGGCCCTGGGTGGTGGTGGTCGATTTCCCCGGCAAAGCTCCCTGGAAGCCCGTCCTTTGCTTTATTTCTCAAAATGGAAGCCGCGGGTTGCAACCGATGGCTGTGTGTGGTTGAAGGGTTTAAGCCATGCCCAGATCCCAGTTCCCACCCCAAAACAGAACCAGCACCTCACTTTTCGGACCTCCCCTTCCTTAATTCCGGGGCCAGGTCCGCAAAACCACCGGCAAACCCCGATTGCCTCCATAAGCTCCTTGCCCACAGCGATGGCTTCCTGGCCAAAGGGAGCGGGACTTCGGCTTCCCTTTGGGCTCGAAGCAATCCTCGTCCGGTCTTTCAAGGGGCAATGCCGCTGGGCGATGTGCCAAGCCTAAGAGCCACAGGAATCAAACCTTCATGCACCTCCAGGCCTTCAATTCCACCCCAATGCGCAAGATCCACAGATGGCCTTTTGGAAAAATAGATGGCCCTGGTACATGGAATAAACCATCTAAACCAGTGGAACCCATCTATTTTGAAGCAAACCAACCAAGAAAGGACCCCCAATGCGCGACATCCCCAGCCCCTCAGCTTCATCCCCCGCCGCGCAGCTTCACCCCCGCGCCGGGTCCATGTCGAAGGCGTGCAGCTGCCCAGAGCCGGACATCGCCGCCAGCATGGCGCGGCTGTGGCCGCCCCGACCGAAGGTGCCGTCCACGTAGAGCCCGCCTGGATCAAAACACCGAGGACCAGGACCCCGCCCCCGCCCCAAAAAAAAAGAAGAATCATGTATGCCCCATGTCCCCCCCCCAGATGTCCCCCCCCCCAAAAAGAATAAGGGCTCAAGGCCATGGTGGCTTCCCCCCCCCCCAAAAAAAAGGAAAAAAACCGAAACGGATTGATAAAATCTTAAAAATACATAAAGAAACATGTATGTGTGATCATATCATGTCGTTTCCACCACCCTTGACAATCAATACTTGGCCCATTGTTTCACCATTCTTGAAGTCAGCCCTCAAGTGGCCTGCTTACGGGAAATAACCGTTTCTGACTTTGAACCCCTAAGAAACCGACAATTCCCTGCACCCAGCTGTACCCACTGCCCCGTCATCCAGCCCTTGCCCCTTCATCGTTTGCCGCGTGGAACGCATGTGCAACCACGAGGTGCGTGATGCAAAATGGAAGCCGGTGAATCCTCAGCTCCGGCAACTGATTTGCTACTGTGAGGGTTGTGTTCAGTTGAGTAGTTGGGGCGAAAAGAAAAAAAGAAAAACAAGCGCACGCCAAGTGATTGGTTTGAGCCGTTTTTGCAAACCAGGGCTCCAAATGCTGTTTCGCTGACATCACCCAAGGGCCTTTTTGAGACTCGCAAAGTTTCGCTGAACGACTGTGTTCAATCCGCCTAAAACGGGACATTATGGACCAAGAGAGCGAAGAAACTCATTGGTTTCTGCTTACATTTCCTCGCTGGTACGAGGGAATGACCCCAAACTATCCAACTGGTTTCCTTTAAGGGGACCGGCTCATTCCAGTCCCTGAGCTCCAGCTAGCCAATCCCGAATCTCTTGTTGGGGACAAATGCGTAACCACCGGGGACGAATTTCGGAGAAAGCAAAAACTGGGGGACTCTGTAAATGCGTAACCACAAAAAACCATTTTTCGGAAAACATAAAGGAAGAAGCAAGTCCAAACAGACTATAAATGCATCACCACCGGGATGAGTTTCGTGTAAAAAAAAAAAAGGAGTCCAAACTGGACCATTGAGCGATCCTCTCTTGCTTCCTTGCACGAAGCCATCTCTCGCCGCACCTGGGTTGGGCGCCACCAGCTTCTTGACCTCGCGAACCGCGGGGTCTTTCGCACGAAAAACGTGGATGAAACCTGAGGGGTGGTTGGGTGGTTTGGTGGCTTGGTGGTTTGGATTTTGTGGTTTGGTGGTTTGGTGGTTGGGGGTTTTGGTGGTGTGGTGGTTGGGTGATTTGGTGGTTTGGTGGGTTGGTGGTTTGGTGGTTTGGCGGTTTGGTGGTTTCGTGATTGGGTGGTTTGGTGGCTTGGTGGCTTGGTGGCTTGGTGGTTTGGTGGCTTGGATTTGGTGGTTTGGTGGTTTGGTGGTTGGGTGTTTTGGTGGTGTGGTGGTTGGGTGATTTGGTGGTTTGGTGGGTTGGTGGTTTGGTGGTTTGGCGGTTTGGTGGTTTCGTGATTGGGTGGTTTGGTGGCTTGGTGGCTTGGTGGCTTGGTGGTTTGGTGGTTTGGTGGATTGGTGGTTTGGTGGTGTGGTGGTTTGGTGGTTTGGTGGTTTGGTGGTTTGGTGGTTTGGTGGTTTGGTAGTTCGGTGATTTGGTGGTTTCGTGATTGGGTGGTTTGGTGGTTTGGTGGTGTGGTGGTTTGGTGGTTTGGTGGGTTGGTGGCTTGGTGGTTTGGCGGTTTGGTGGTTTCGTGATTGGGTGGTTTGGTGGTGTGGTGGTTTGGTAGTTCGGTGTTTTGGTGGTTTGGTGGTTTCGTGATTGGGTGATTGGGTGGTTTGGTGGTTTGGTGGTTGGCTGATTTGGTGGTTTGGTGGTTTGGTGGTTGGGTGATTTGGTGGTGTGGTGGTTTGGTTGTTGGGTGGTTTGGTGGCTTGGTGGCTTGGTGGTTTGGTGGTTTGGTGGTTTGGTGGTTTGGTGGGTTGGTGGTTTGGTGGCTTGGTGGGACAACCACCTGTCAACTGTCAACTGCAGGGGTTCGTTGTGTGTACCCCCTATCAACAATTGGAAGCTGAAAGAACGTATGTGCAGCAGCCCAAGCGAAAGAAACTCACTGAAATGAGCCCCAAGAATTAATCCGCAAGCCACATTCCCACAATGGGCTTCTTTCAACTACCATCTAACACCGGTCCCTACACGAGCTTCCTGAAATATGTGGAAGCTGTTGGAAAAGAGATTTCCCTCTCCTTACTGAGATGATCCGCCAACTTGCTGGTTTCCTTCTGATGCGTCATTCTGCTCAAAACCCGAAAGGGGTGTCTTCCCGATTTGCGTGGACATGATGTCTGGAGTCCGGATTGCGCGCGCCAAAGAAAGGAACACAAACCAACAGCTCCAAAAGACTGGATGACGCATCCCCATAACCTCACACCTCCAAAGTTGAGCTTCAGAAAGAAACACGGGGCTGAAACCGGCCTGCAATCTAAACAGTGTGACCCCCTGCAAGTCTGCAAGTCTGCAAGTCTTCGGGAAGCTTTGATCGACTAGTTTGGTCTTGCCAGAGGCGGGATCTAAAGCTGCGCTAGGCAGGGTAATCCTTTTCGGACCCACCCCCCAGCAACTGTTGTTTTCGTTGCGG